TTGGAAGAGGAGCAAATACGCTCTGCTCGATCCACCAAGTTACGCACTAAATTCACCTTGTATTGGTACGAACAATACGAGTCAAACATTATGTACTGGCCGGTGAATGTAGGCTTTCTGTACACAGATGTTACGGTACCCTGACTAGACTTTTCCACAAGGACGTCTAGAAAGGGAAGTTTGTTGGCTTGTTCGTGTTCACACGTAAAACGTATGGAAGGATGTAGGTCATTTAGAATACCAAGAAAGATTTGGCTATCTTCAAGAGAATCAAACCAGGTGAAGGAATCATCAACAAAACGAACGTACAATGCTGGCCACAACTGTTCTGCAATCAGTGACTCGCAGTAACCAACGAACACATTCGCTAAAACTGGACCCAATGGAGAGCCCATGGCTACCCCATCAACCTGCCTGTACATAATGTCACCGAAGGAAAACTCCACACCAGTCGTCACGAGCAACATCAGTTCCCGGAACGCCGTCTCCGATATCCATGGCGTGTCAACTTCATCATTTCGGCATCTAGGCAAATATTGATAGTCTCTTCTAACGGGACGTTCGTGAACAGACTAACAACATCAAACGAGCACATATGCGCGGAGGCCGGAACCGGGTGGGAGCGAAGGACGTCAATGAATTCGAAGGTGTCTTTAACTGTATGTTTGCAATAGAACGTTTGCACGATGTCAAGCCAACCACACAGCCATTTAGAGATATTATATTGTGGTGATGCAACCATGGATAATATGGGGCGCAACGGACAGTTCGGTTTATATATTTTTGGTAGCCCATAGAGACGTGGCCGGACGGAACCAATGGGCCGCATTTTGAAGAACTCTTCCTCCGATATCTGTTTATTTTCCTTAAGTCTCTTGAGAAAACTATTCAACTTTTTCTCTACTCGAACTGTGTTGTCATGAGTAGATACCGGACCGAGTTGGACAAACTTACTCGTGTCCTCAAGGATGACCGCCATTTTTGTATTGTACTCTTGTGTGCTGATAATAACTGTAGCTCGACCCTTGTCTGGTCTTGTGATTCTAATATCGTTGTTGTTCGTAAGATGACGTCGAGCCTTAAGGTGTTCTCTGGATAATGAAAATGTGCTTCGGTCTGGAGGTTTTTCTGCGTGTTCTTCGGCGATGGCTCGAAGATTAGCCGTACAGATAGCACGCTGATTTTCAGATACTGGTGTAAAATTCTTCATGAGTTTTTTGTGGAACATTTCGAATTGCGTAAGAACTATTTCCTTTCTGTTGTTAGAAGGAGGAATACCAAACTCCGTTCCCCGGCAAAGTAATTCCTTTTGCACAGGGGATAGTTCGATGTTGGCCAGATTAATAATCGTGTCCATGTTGGGCTTAAAGGAGCCATACCGCTTTGCACGCAGCCATTTGATGTTTTTCTCGTACTTGGCGAGGAGTTTGACTTGCTGTTTGCTGTCATTCTCGGCCAGTAGTGTACTGAATCTGAGGTAGTCGTGATAGGAAAGGAACGAACGAGCCGAACTATACAGACGTTTAAATTGAGACTTAACAGAACATAATGTGTCACTAGAGCGCGCAATGTCGTCTTTGAGGAATACTCTTTCTATTGCTAATGAGTGATAAGCACGGGCTTTGTGCACCCGATTCTGGATGGAAGTAGGGCACACTCCATTTTCCTTACAGCGCTTCAAAAAGATAATATTATGTGAAATGTTTCTAGCCAAGTAGCGTTTGCGCAGAGCATCATTCAGGGTTTCAACCTGACTCCTAGAGTATCTCCGTTTAAAATATGCAAATAATCGACGTGGAGACAACAATTTTATAATAGCAATAAAAAGAACAAATTCTGCAGTCATCGCCACACTACAACGAAGTCATGAAAGTTTACCAGAATTAATTTTCTTGTCACATTCATCAGTGGAAAGTTGTGACTGAAAAGTAACCATGCTGAACAATGATTAAATATACATTCAATGATGTGTTACGAGAACAAAATACAGTGCCAAAATAGAAAGAGGGAAGGTGAGACAATAGCAGTGAAGTGAGAGCTAAGTGCAACAGTGGGTGAAAAACTAATAATTATAACGCTAAAACTGTGTAGTGAGACAAACAATCATGCTGTGCACCTACGAAAACAATTTTAACGCAACTACATGTTTCTTCTGCTTACAAAGATCAGGCTTATGCAAACGAATACAAACAGCCTCAAGTACTTTCGTACCAATACAAGGTGAATTTAGTGCGTAACTTGGTGGATCGAGCAGAGCGTATTTGCTCCTCTTCCAAACTAGCTGAGGAACTGGACTTCCTTAAGTCCGTTTTTCTAAAGAACGGGTACCCTGACGATCTATTGAAGGAACTCATGAGCGAAAGGCTGGATAAAAAGGAAAAACGTTTTGGCCCGGACAAATGTCCCACGTATCTTTCTCTCCCCTGGAAAGGTAACCTCTCATTATCCATGAGTCGCTTAGTACGGAAAATTGTACAGCAAACTTACTACGCGGTACATTTTGTACCCGTTTTCACAACTGTACGTGCGTTCACGGTGAGGAAGGATGTCCTACCAACCCAACTTGCATCTAAATTGGTATACCAATTTGAGTGCCGACAATGCGGTAGTCGGTACGTTGGTAGGACTCTTCAACATCTGAACGCACGTATCAAGCAGCACGTCCCACTGCATATGCTGACTGGCTCGGCACGGGCACTGAGACCAAAACGCGGCAGGCCACTGAAGAACCCTCGGCCACAGCCATCGTTAGCACAATTTCCGTCATCGGCAATAGTGCCTCCATTACCCGTATCGAGAGCCTTGGAGTCGGGTAATGGGCATATTGTCACCACAATACAATGCACCATAACAACAACACAAGATAACACACCACAACAACATTCAGCTCAAGACCAAAGTGGACGCTGTGATGAGGTAATGCCCTCATCGCCGTCTTTGCCGTTGCCTCCCCCAGAACCGCCACCTACATCTATCATCGGCGGTGCTGGGGCTGAGTCTGTGGTGTCGGTGGCACGTGCATATATGGATGAGGCAAGCACTGATTGTGAACAACGAGAAAGAAGGCTGAAGGGAACGGAATTCAACAAAGAAAGTAACACAATCAACATTCAAAGACCTAGACGATCAACGGCTAATTATTCAATGAATTATTACAGTACTGGAGATCAAGCACCGGCGAGGACACTGGGAACACAAGATTTAACAACAACAACAACAACAACAACAACAACAACAACAACAACAACAATGGTAACAAGTTGCCATCAAGATCAAAGGAGGAGTCAACGAACAGAGGTTAAACAACGTCAAACGAGCCTGGGACCGATCAGTGTTGATGAGGAGAATGACACGGAGGACGACACTGAGGACGAGTTGGGAGATGAAACGGAGGACGAGGTTGCGGTTGTTGGAGACGAGGAATCAGATGGTGATTGTGATCGTAAGAAGTCTGCCGTTTTTCTTCACTTGTTGTCTCACCCTAAGTGTCTGCAGGTGTATGATGATTTTAGTTTTTCTGTTCTTTGTCGTGCACGGTATGCTAGTCAGTTGAAAGTACTTGAGGCTGTTTGTATTCGTTTGCATAAGCCTGATCTTTGTAAGCAGAAGAAACATGTAGTTGCGTTAAAATTGTTTTCGTAGGTGCACAGCATGATTGTTTGTCTCACTACACAGTTTTAGCGTTATAATTATTAGTTTTTCACCCACTGTTGCACTTAGCTCTCACTTCACTGCTATTGTCTCACCTTCCCTCTTTCTATTTTGGCACTGTATTTTGTTCTCGTAACACATCATTGAATGTATATTTAATCATTGTTCAGCATGGTTACTCTTCAGTCACGACTTTCCACTGATGAATGTGACAAGAAAATTAATTCTGGTAAACTTTCATGACTTCGTTGTAGTGTGGCAATGACTGCAGAATTTGTTCTTTTTATTGCTATTATAAAATTGTTGTCTCCACGTCGATTATTTGCATATTATTATTATAGTTTCGCAATCTAGCTATACGTACGCATGCAAAGATGCAAATCCACACAGTCAAGTAGACACTTCCTTTCATCTATCAAACTTTTTCTTTCCCTTTTTTTCAGGATAGAACAGGGGAATGTTGGAAATTTGAAAAAACACACACATCTACATGGAACTACCGGTATAATAGACAGATACAATTAATGATTAAACTCAAAAACAGAAGCTGCAAGTTGTTGACAGATTGAACACATCAGGAAACACTGGTCACACTTTCACAAGGTGTGGCACCAAACAACTGCAACGATAACACATTCTCCTTCTGCACATACCAGTGTTTCCTGATGTGTGCATTGTTTTTGTCTACAACTATTACTTGCAGCTTCTGTTTTTAAGCTTTTAGCACTTTAATCATTAATTTGTGTCACCTATGTCGAAGTGTTGACAGTTTTCTATCCTTCTTTTTTTGCAAACTCTAATATAGTTATGTTTTTTTCAAATTTCCAACATTCCGTGTTCTATCCTGAAGAAAAGGGAAAGAAAAAGTTTGATAGATGAAAGGAAGTGTCTACTTGACTGTGTGGATTTGCGTCTTTGCATGCGTATGTATAGCTAGATTGCAAAACTATTTTCACCGCCTCCAAACTACCGATTGAGGTACATGTATTATTGTAGCTTATCACTCCCTTAGAATTGACTCCCATAGATTTTTGCTAAGCAGTCACAAAATCCTGCATATTTCACTCCTTAATAGGGCTGTAATGACTGCTTATATTTGACTCCATTTTAGGGATTGAACACACGCTATGGCTAGTCGTGATAAATCTAATACAGTATTGACTTCGTACTTGGTCAGTATAGGAAATAAAATTATAAAACCTCGTAAAAGACCTCGGCTTCGCCTCGGTCTTTTACTCGGCTTTACCTAGCTGGTGTAGATCAAAAAGATGATGAAGAATTCTACGTCATAAATTATTTTGACGCAGGAGTACTCGATCGAGTGTTCGCCAGCTGGCCAGCTTTTCGCGTTGCAGCTGCATTACGATTTCCGCCGCCCTAGCGCTCTTGCTAGCAAGTCGCATGGTGGTTCTTCCGAGTTTTACAGCGCAGGCTCTACGCACGCATTATTTTCTCCGTATATGCAGCGCAGGCAGGTCAACCGTCGACCTCTAGCTCTCCCAAGCAGAATGGTAAGGGCTTTCCTAGAGCCAATTTCTCCAACGTAAGCAAGATTAGTGACCGGTAATGCAGCAAGAGTGCTCAACGAGAGGACACGGATCGGATACATGTCTGGCGAATGTGCCAGATTACTAGTAGTACGTAGGTCTAATGACGGCAGCTCATCCAAGCCAGTGCGCCTGGGAAAGCGTCGTATCGCGGGCCATCAGTACAATTTACTCCTCCACCTATTTCGGTCTGGATTAGGCGAGTCTCCTCGGACACGGACGTGAAGAGGGATCGCCGGCAACGCACTGCCCCGTTCAAACTCTCGAACAGCGTTGTCTCTAGCTCTGCATGTTGATCAAGTGAACACTGCGGCTTCGAGCGCATGGGTGGAATACCCAAGTCACTACTTTGTTTGGCTCACAAAGTCAGGTCGTTACAATGCTAGCTGCAAGGTTCTATCATCGCATCGACGCCGTCTGCCTCTTGACAGTCTTGCTCGGTGCGGTGGCTAGCCAAGATGTTGCGAACGATGTCCAAGTAAGTACATCTCGAGTGTGGTGTGCGTGTGTCACATCCCGTTTCCACTAGCTGACGTTCCACACTGTGACAGTATACCTGGTAATCCGTATACTACTAGTAGTACCTTGTATTTGCAGTAGCAGGCTCGAAAAACACTACGATCACGGTACTTTCTGCCACAGCCTGGAGTCCATTGAGGTTCATCAAGTTAGTTGATAATATTATCATGGTTACTGTTTATCTACTCTTTTTCGATGTACCCGCGGTGCGTTCACCGATAAGGCTATATCTTTTTTTTGGCTGTAAAATCAAGGTAAAAAGACATGCAAAGTGACGCAAAAGGGTGTGCTTTGTCTCTAAGGACACATGCATGGCAGGAATAGGAGGATTGTGCCTGTGGGAATTGGATGAGATGAAAACTGTGATCTTTTAAACACAGTACACTGTGAGACTTAGCCTCAAGTAGCGGACACCACTCGTGTGGCATTGGCCCTGTTGTTCTACATTCTGTTGGTGCAGGAGGGTAAAGACCAGGTGGTGTCCTCGCGGGGATTGGTCAGGTACACGTATCATGCCAGGATTGACTTTGACTCGTTCGTCACCGATCAGACCAAGTGCCTAGAGGAGAATTCCGGCACGTTCAACAACGGCACGCGCACATGCACTGCTACACTGGTGTTCTGCGTTGCTCCCAGCGTCACGACCATCCCACCAGCCAAACAGCGGAACTGTGCTCTGCTCAACGTCACCGTTGCCGAGAGCACAGGCACAATTCCAGTCTACAGTGCGCACGGCCAGAATGTGACCTCTCGCAGCAACTCGTCGCTTAGAATCTTGATCCCGGATGATGGAACCGAAGACTTTTATCCTACTGTGGTGAGTGACCCATGTGTATTTCCCCAAAATTATATGGTCCATGATGTGTTATGATGATGCTGGCACTTTACCCCCCCCCCCCCCTCCACGTACACACCAAGCGTAGATTAACAAGAGTGTGCAACTCCCGGATGGGTTGGCCCACGGCGGAATTTTTTGTTGACGTAATCTTTTCTACGACGCACGCGCTGCGGGTCTTTTGGAAAGTTTTCCCTCGTGCACTCGGCCGGGCTTTACATGACAAGGTCAGTTGCCAGCACGTGCTCTCACGCTGCTCTGCGGCTAGATTCGCGTTTTTCTGAAAAAAAGGTGACGTCAACAAAAAATTCCGCCGTGGGCGGGAGTATCTGAAAATTGTGCAGGAGAGATCCGGAGTTGCACACTCTTGTTTATCTACTCTTGGTACACACCCATCTAAAGTAACTTTTTAAGCCCTGGATTGTGATCAGCCTGGAAAGGCCTGAACAATCAGAGTTGTATCACAGGAAATACAGTTACAGTGGCTTATGGTAATAACTACTTCGAAGTACTCTTCGTTAATGAAGGCGCATGTGTCTCCTTAGTACACTGATCAGGCTTTGCCTTCGCAACTCTCACTTCCTCCTTTGTTTTTGGTGGAAGAAAAGGTCGTTGTCTTCCATGATGAACATTGGACAATGGCAATGGTCAATATCCTTGAGAGCGGTGGCATTCCTATGGATTCAAAAGATTCAATCTGATTGGTTCTGACACGAAAAGTGAAACCCTTTTTTGGTTGCGTTCCTACAGATGTGGAAAGCTCGGTTTCTAGCCGAGTCTCGCGTGAAAACCGTGAACCTTTTTTTAGTAGACCCTCTGCATGTGAAGGCCAGCAACGCTGCCCCGGTGATCCTGTGGAAAATTTGAATCAGTGGAGAACATGCGGGACTTGCTTTGTGCTGAAACAGATATGGACTGGGTGGAAAAAACACCTGGAGTTGCATGAACCTTTTGCTCAGCTCTTGTGTGCAGTCGGAGGGGTTCCCGGTACGGGTTCCTCTTTAGCTTCAGCCGAAAAGATAACCGCCTGTGCCACCCGGGCCCTAAGGCCTGTGGTGCCGGAAATTCAACTGTCTGAATTGTTCCACACTGAATTTGGATCCCTGGAGTGCAGTGCAACGGACCATCCGTATTGAAAGTATTTATGGTCAGAAGTTAGAGAAGTAGTGTAGTGCATTTACATGTCGGGCAATTCCTTCTAGCTAAGGACCCACTGTGCGTATGGACAGTCTGCGGCGCTGCACACAAGTCAAACGTGTCAAACGATTTCATCTTTTTAAAATGAAGTTGTGTGACACGCTTGCGTGCAGTGAACACTCTTTGGTCAGTTTAGTGACCCTGTCCACGAAATACGTGTAATGTACAATCAATGAGTTACCTGTGCAAATTTGTCTGCTCTTTAACCCTAGATCAAGTTGTCACTGGCTCTCTTTGAGATTGGGGAAATCGTCAGACGAGAGGATGCCAGTTACCTGGCCACGGCGTCAGCTCTGGTCAACACGAGGTCGCCGGACATGATGCAGTGCTTTGGTGTTCAAGGGGTGAACCATCACGTGATCGAAGATCCCAAGTGTGATCCTAAAGTCTGCTTTGGCAGTCTTACCATTCCATTGCAATTTGGGCAGCATAACAGCAGTTACTGTGATTTTCATCCACGCCTGACACGCGGTGCGAAAAACGACAGTAACAATGTCATCTACTTTGGTACATTGAAGCTAAGAGCCAGACTGGAGCAGACCTTGGGTAAGTTTGTGTACATGTACATCTGAGCACGGGTCATCAGTCTTTGGTGTTGCGTTCTTGCCTGTGCACTCATACATCATAATTATGGTGGTGTAGTACGAGGCATACACATACGCTTTGCTGTATACATACCTCACCATCACTGCTGCCCAGTGCAGCCCCCGCTCAGTAGCTGTTGTTTTTGTCCACATAATTATTTATTTTACGAGTTGGGTGTGTGAATAATAGTAAAAAAATGTGATAAGACGCATATGATAAGACGCATGCGCGTTTGGGCTCGTGGCGGTCTTGCATGCTTGCTGTGCTTGACTAGACGTCCGAGAATGTGAGCTCTCTTTCCTTGTCCTTCAGGCTTCAGTTCCTTCATTAATACTTCCTCCGCATCATTAAAATTGTCGCTTCGCACATCGCAATGTTTGTGACTTGCTCGTCTTAGTCCGACTGTCGGAATCGCTGTTTTCTGTGTTCGAACATTGGTGCGATTCTTCATGCGCAATGTCTACTGGTTACTGAAGCCGTGGTGGTCTCGGACTTTGTCGGAGATCTCTTCCGCACCAAACAAATTCATCGCGCTCCGCACTTTTCCGCCCCAGAGCGAGTATCGTTTTTCTGGAGGTTGTGCCGTCCCACATTATCCGCGTGGGCATTTATCAAGACTGCAAGCTCAGGTATAAGAATCCTGGTGTCTCTCCTGAATACGAAATGCTGAAGTTGACGATGGCAAGAACAAAATGTTCTCAAGTTCCTAAAATGCGCTATGTGTGGCGCATGTGGCTGCGAAGGTAGCAGGTTTGAAAACACCAACAAAATCAGCGAAGTGCTTGCCAAGGAAAGAAGGTGCGGAAGTCCTTACCCTATCCCGCTGGAAGGTCGTTACAGTGTACTTGAAAAATGCTACTTCGAGTAGTTTGCCGTCATCGCATGCCACCTGGAGGCATGGATCGCTTGAAAATGAAGTTTCTTGACATGAATTTGAACGCGCGTCTTGTTCAGCGTATTGTTGAGTGCTGAAGGGTCTGCCTCAAAACTCTGATGAAGACGTCGACCTTAGCTGCAAGTGCAGCGAAGCGGACGGCCACGAACTAAAGTTTGGTTCGTCGACAATGCTCTGCCTCAATTTCTAGCTGATTTCTTTGCTCTTTGAGTGGACGAAATAAATTTGAAAAATCGATCTGGGCAAGCGACAATTTTAATGACGCGGAGGAAGTAGATTAGCCATACAACCATGTGTAATGCTGTGTGTGGTCTTGCTCTGCTGTGTGTGGTCTTGCTCTGCTGTGTGTGGTCTTGCTCTGCTGTGTGTGGTCTTGCTCTGCTGTGTGTGGTCTTGCTCTGCTGTATGTGGTCTTGCTCTGCTGTGTGTGGTCTTGCTCTGCTGTGTGTGGTCTTGCTCTGCTGTGTGTGGTCTTGCTCTGCTTTGTGTGGTTTTGCTCTACTGTGTGTGGTCTTGCTCTTCTGTGTGTGGTCTTGCTCTGCTGTGTGTGGTCTTGCTCTGCTGTGTGTGGTCTTGCTCTGCTATGTGTAGTCTTGCTCTGCTGTGTGTGGTCTTGCTCTGCTGTGTGTAGTCTTGCTCTGCTGTGTGTGGTCTTGCTCTGCTGTGTGTGGTCTTGCTCTGCTGTGTGTGGTCTTGCTCTGCTGTGTGTGGTCTTGCTCTGCTGTGTGTGGTCTTGCTCTGCTGTGTGTGGTCTTGCTCTGCTGTGTGTGGTCTTGCTCTGCTGTGTGTGGTCTTGCTCTGCTGTGTGTGGTCTTGCTCTGCTGTGTGTGGTCTTGCTCTGCTGTGTGTGGTCTTGCTCTGCTGTGTGTGGTCTTGCTCTGCTGTGTGTGGTCTTGCTCTGCTGTGTGTGGTCTTGCTCTGCTGTGTGTGGTCTTGCTCTGCTGTGTGTGGTCTTGCTCTGCTGTGTGTGGTCTTGCTCTGCTGTGTGTGGTCTTGCTCTGCTGTGTGTGTGGTCTTGCTCTGCTGTGTGTGGTCTTGCTCTGCTGTGTGTGGTCTTGCTCTGCTGTGTGTAGTCTTGCTCTGCTGTGTGTGGTCTTGCTCTGCTGTGTGTGGTCTTGCTCTGCTGTGTGTGGTCTTGCTCTGCTGTGTGTGGTCTTGCTCTGCTGTGTGTGGTCTTGCTCTGCTGTGTGTGTGGTCTTGCTTTGCTGTGTGTGGTCTTGCTATGCTGTGTGTGGTCTTGCTCTGCTGTGTGTGGTCTTGCTCTGCTGTGCAGCGAAGCGGACGGCCACGAACTAAAGTTTGGTTCGTCGACAATGCTCTGCCTCAATTTCTAGCTGATTTCTTTGCTCTTTGAGTGGACGAAATAAATTTGAAAAATCGATCTGGGCAAGCGACAATTTTAATGACGCGGAGGAAGTAGATTAGCCATACAACCATGTGTAATGCTGTGTGTGGTCTTGCTCTGCTGTGTGTGGTCTTGCTCTGCTGTGTGTGGTCTTGCTCTGCTGTGTGTGGTCTTGCTCTGCTGTGTGTGGTCTTGCTCTGCTGTATGTGGTCTTGCTCTGCTGTGTGTGGTCTTGCTCTGCTGTGTGTAGTCTTGCTCTGCTGTGTGTGGTCTTGCTCTGCTTTGTGTGGTCTTGCTCTGCTGTGTGTGGTCTTGCTCTGCTGTGTGTGGTCTTGCTCTGCTGTGTGTGGTCTTGCTCTACTGTGTGTGGTCTTGCTCTTCTGTGTGTGGTCTTGCTCTGCTGTGTGTGGTCTTGCTCTGCTGTGTGTGGTCTTGCTCTGCTGTGTGTAGTCTTGCTCTGCTGTGTGTGGTCTTGCTCTGCTGTGTGTAGTCTTGCTCTGCTGTGTGTGGTCTTGCTCTGCTGTGTGTGGTCTTGCTCTGCTGTGTGTGGTCTTGCTCTGCTGTGTGTGGTCTTGCTCTGCTGTGTGTGGTCTTGCTCTGCTGTGTGTAGTCTTGCTCTGCTGTGTGTGGTCTTGCTCTGCTGTGTGTGGTCTTGCTCTGCTGTGTGTGGTCTTGCTCTGCTGTGTGTGGTCTTGCTCTGCTGTGTGTGGTCTTGCTCTGCTGTGTGTGGTCTTGCTCTGCTGTGTGTGGTCTTGCTCTGCTGTGTGTGGTCTTGCTCTGCTGTGTGTGGTCTTGCTCTGCTGTGTGTGGTCTTGCTCTGCTGTGTGTGGTCTTGCTCTGCTGTGTGTGGTCTTGCTCTGCTGTGTGTGGTCCTGCTCTGCTGTGTGTGTGGTCTTGCTCTGCTGTGTGTGGTCTTGCTCTGCTGTGTGTGGTCTTGCTCTGCTGTGTGTGGTCTTGCTCTGCTGTGTGTGTGGTCTTGCTCTGCTGTGTGTGGTCTTGCTCTGCTGTGTGTGGTCTTGCTCTGCTGTGTGTAGTCTTGCTCTGCTGTGTATGGTCTTGCTCTGCTGTGTGTGGTCTTGCTCTGCTGTGTGTGGTCTTGCTCTGCTGTGTGTGGTCTTGCTCTGCTGTGTGTGGTCTTGCTCTGCTGTGTGTGTGGTCTTGCTTTGCTGTGTGTGGTCTTGCTATGCTGTGTGTGGTCTTGCTCTGCTGTGTGTGGTCTTGCTCTGCCGTGTGTGGTCTTGCTCTGCTGTGTGTGGTCTTGCTCTGCTTTGTGTGGTCTTGCTCTGCTGTGTGTGGTCTTGCTCTGCTGTGTGTGGTCTTGCTCTGCTGTGTGTGGTCTTGCTCTGCTGTGTGTGGTCTTGCTCTGCTGTGTGTGGTCTTGCTCTGCTGTGTGTGGTCTTGCTCTGCTGTGTGTGGTCTTGCTCTGCTGTGTGTGGTCTTGCTCTGCTGTGTGTGGTCTTGCTCTGCTGTGTGTGGTCTTGCTCTGCTGTGTGTGGTCTTGCTCTGCTGTGTGTGGTCTTGCTCTGCTGTGTGTGGTCTTGCTCTGCTGTGTGTGGTCTTGCTCTGCTGTGTGTGGTCTTGCTCTGCTGTGTGTGGTCTTGCTCTGCTGTGTGTGGTCTTGCTCTGCTGTGTGTGGTCTTGCTCTGCTGTGTGTGGTCTTGCTCTGCTTTGTGTGGTCTTGCTCTGCTGTGTGTGGTCTTGCTCTGCTGTGTGTGGTCTTGCTCCGCTGTGTGTGGTCTTGCTCCGCTGTGTGTGGTCTTGCTCTGCTGTGTGTGGTCTTGCTCTGCTGTGTGTGGTCTTGATCTGCTGTGTGTGGTCTTGCTCTGCTGTGTGTGGTCTTGCTCTGCTGTGTGTGGTCTTGCTCTGCTGTGTGTGGTCTTGCTCTGCTGTGTGTGGTCTTGCTCTGCTGTGTGTGGTCTTGCTCTGCTGTGTGTGGTCTTGCTCTGCTGTGTGTGGTCTTGCTCTGCTGTGTGTGGTCTTGCTCTGCTGTGTGTGGTCTTGCTCTGCTGTGTGTGGTCTTGCTCTGCTGTGTGTGGTCTTGCTCTGCTGTGTGTGGTCTTGCTCTGCTGTGTGTGGTCTTGCTCTGCTGTGTGTGGTCTTGCTCAATAAAACCTGGTCGAGTGAGTCAAGTTTGCACCATGTCACGGCCCAGTGTTGGCAGGCCAAGAGCTGCGCAACGCCCAGCGCATACTCGAGCGACTCCACTGAATTTCTTTCTGCAACCTCGTACATGTAGGCCAGCAGCTAGAGCTCCCTGTGTCACAAGTCACCACCAGCACTCGCCCTTTGTGCCCCGTCACATGACATGCAACATGCAGGACACACATGTAGATACCGTCAGACCTCGCTTAACCGCACACATCCGTTCTCCACAAAAATATCCGGATAGGCGAGGGAACCGGATAACCGAACACCGTTTATGTTGCATCATGTGTGCTGTGGATATGCAAGCGGCTATTTTCTTCCGCATGGCGAGGGATCCGGATAAAACAGGACCGGATAATCGAGGTCTGCCTGTGCATAGTAAAGCGTTGAAACGAGAGAGCTTGGAAGCTCAGGGCCCTACGCTATGCTTTTTTGCCTTGATGACCTAGACAAAAAGAGCATAGGGGTGTTATAAATTCTTATAAGGCCACCCAGAATTAATTCGTTGTTTCGGGTCACCCGACCGACCGTCTTTTTTCACCCGACCGCAAAAAGTTTTTTTTTATAGTGCATTCAAATGTACATGTACATGACTAGACTATGTACGTACATGACTGTACACACGCGCCTAATAATAGCTAGCAGTCCAGACATCGACCTCAGAAGCAGCAAAATAAAATAACAGGATGAAGCACTTTGTGACGATGTTGTCTTCCGATCCGCAATCGGTCCTGAAACCACTGGAAACAGCATCAGCTCCGCCACCGCGTCGCTCTTTGACAGACGTTTTCAAGGTGAGAGCTGCTCCTCAGACTCGTTTGCCAGCGAGGCCAAGGTCTGGTCCTGGAGGGGACCTGGGTCTGATGGGACAATGGCTGCGCTGGATCGTCTACAGTCATGATTTGATCGACTGGCTTGATGGACAAAAGCTATTCGATGTACAATCATGTACATGTATGCACATATACATGGCAGTAAGCAAAATAAAAAATAAAAAAAATAAAAAATTAACCCGACCGACCCTGGTACGGATGAGTGAAGTGACCCGAAACAACGAATTAATTCTAGGTGGCCTAAGTTTCTACTTTTTGTTTTAGACATAACCTAGGATTGGAACCCGCGCTATCGCCCTGCATGCATCCCCCGATACACTTCGCATACATACTAATTCTTCCAAGTTGCTTCACGTTATGTTCTTGTATTTGAAAGCCCTATTTGAATATGCATTGTGGCCAGCCGTCTGTGATTGTACGGTACGGTACGGGACAGGTACGGGACAGGTGCGGTCGAGGGTAATATGACACCATCTACCGCCTTGATGACGGCAAAAAAAGAAAAGGGATGTTATAAATTGTTCAATTCTCCTATTTTTTCAGGCATTACCTGGGATTCGAACCCGCACTATCGCCCTACATGCATTCCCCCATACACTTCGCATTCATACTCATTCTTCCAAGTTGCTTCACGTTATGATCTTGCGTTTGAAAGCCCTATTTGAATATTGCGGCCAGCTGTATGTGGCCAGCTGTGTTTGATGGTACGGGACAGATACGGGATAGCGCCAGGCATGACACAAACACACAAACAAACACCAAATTAAAGCTGTGTGGACCCTGGCTAGCGCCAGATGTTACTGAAGTAACGTCTTCTGCATAGCTACGGGAATAAAGCGCTGTGGACCCTGGCTAGCGCCCTACTCTACTACCGTAAAGTACTGTTGATCCGCCCCCCACGCCATGTCGCTTCCCAGCTGGATTTTCGGCAGGGAGCGGGAATTAGATCAAGGCTGTCAAGTGCAGTACGATGTACAACAACATAGAGGATCAGACTCGATGTGCTGGATTGTGCATTTTTTCATCCTGGATTGGCACGTATTGTGTACAGCAGTGCATGCGTCGGTTCAACATTTCGTGGTGTACGCCGAAGTCTCTTCACAGGTAGAAATCGACAGGGGGCGGGAATTAGAGAGGGGGCGGATCAACTGTACTTTACGGTACTTGTATTCGCAGCATAATTTGCATAGCAACGGGATTTAATGATACATAGGGCATCTGTATCTCATGCCCTGAAATAAGGCGTAGAATTTGATCTCCGCGACTAAGAGCGCGACCGCGCAGCCTATCGAGAGTCGACTGTACTGTGGCATCCTGATAGCTGGACAGCTGCTTGTACATGTATTGCTAATGTTAGTAGGAATTTCTTGACTGGGAAAACTCAATGACTTTCCAGAGTGGAACAAGTACTAGTCATGGCAGGTTCAAAAGGGAAAGAAAGAATGGCCTGATATTTTAACTGGCAGATAAATATAGCAAAATAACTCTTACATGGAAGAATGCACTGTGAGTGGGACAAGGTTACTGCAGTTATTTGCTGAAAGCACGCTGATTTCTAGAGCACGATTTTGGAATAAATCATCGTCAACAGACAAAACTACTTGAACATTAGTGTAATTGCTCTGGTAGATCCCCATTCCACGTACCAAACCGTTGCTCTGTGGGTGAAAACAGACCAATCTCCAGACCAATTACTTGAAAATTTGAGCTACCTTTTGAAATAGAGGCATGTCCGAGCCTTGGTGAGAACATAATGTATTTACATGGTGCAGCGACCTTGTCTGAGCAACACAAGACCTTGTCTGAGCAACACAAGACCTTGTCTGAGCAACACAAGACCTCGTCTGAGCAACACAAGGAAACAAACTTCTAGCTAAGGAATTCATGGTAGAAGAACGAGAAAAAATTATTTGCTTTTGATGTCTGACTTAAATACCGAAGAGACTTTGCTGGGCTGAAAACTCATTGGCTTACTTGAAGGTCCCTGGTTCGAGTTCTGGTGGTGACGGGTCAATATTCCTTCAGACTTTTTTCTCTTTTCCAAATCCCCGTAATGTATTTATGAGTGGTGTTAAATTGGCTGTTTCAGGGTACGTACCCTTGTCTTCACCTATTGTCATGGTCAGTATAACTCTGGTCCATGAGATTATGCGAATCGCTTTGGGAGGCGAATGTATCCCCAATTTCTCCCCCTTGCTTCCCGTAAGAAAACAAAAAGTAAACTATCGTATCCGTTCCCGAAGGGAACTCACGACAGCCGCTTACACCCGATAAACCCTAGCGGCAGATGCAGCGCCTAACGGTGGGGGTGAGTGGGTAAGTCTCACAACCACTGGCACAAGTGCCGAAAACGACCCCATTAGCTTCATCCATGTACCCCTTGTGCCTGGCCACAAGTAGAGGTTTAAAAAACCAAGCATACCTTCAAGTCAATGTGCTTCATATACATGTACATGTAGTCTCATAGACCGGGATCCAACCAGGCGTACGAGATCCAACCAGGCGTACGAGATCCAACCAGGCGTACGAGATCCAACCAGACGTAATCCTTTGAAGTAATCTACACACAAAGCGTATAGCGCCGGTTCTTGGATTCATATCCCCTGTCTTTGTCTGTCCCACTCTGTATATCTCTGTGTGTGTCTCTGTGTGTGTGTCTCTCTCTTTCATCCAGTTTCTGAAAGAGACCCTCCTGAACGCTATTATTTCCAGCAGAATTCCGGCGCACGGCCAAGAAACCACCGCACCATCCAGTGGACAATGATCGCCATGCTGTGCTTACTGTTGCCGGTTCTCATCACCTCTATCATCGGACTTCACTGCTGGAGTCGCCGCCGAAATCGTCGCCGAGGTGACGCGAAGCGCCGGTGGCAGCTTGCCAACTGCCTGCTGTTGCCATGGCGGTGTTGCCGTGGCAGCAGCGGATTCCAATGGCGACGGTTGCGTAACTGGCAAGACTCTGACCAAGACATGGCCTGCACTGTGAGTGAACTTGTCAGAAATGTTTTCTTGCGATCAAACACAACCGGGTGCGGTTTCAGTCGGGCACCCAATTTGGATGCCTAGCATTCCCCCATCTTTTCTTATAGTTCCGGTGATAACGGTTAGTTGCAAAGTCATCATACTGGATAATGTACATGTACACGCAGTGTATACAGTGTACACTGCGTGTACAGTGTACAGTGCGTGTACAGTGATGAAGTGCAGTGCAAAAACATGGGTACAAACCTGCAGGACGAAACTGGTGTTTCACTCCTTTGATCCTTTTGTCCAGCAAAATATATGTACGTATGATATCACATTGTGTTGCCACGGTCCATGTGACCTATAGAACTTGTTAGCACTCTGCAGTGGTTTTCAACGTTGTCCAGGCGGTGAAAATATTGCGAATCCCAGGTTAAATTGCACTTGCTACCTCCAGAATTGGTATAGAATATGGTGGATTGCATGTCCTTGTTACAACTGGTGTCACTGTGCAATGCTCAACCACGTGGCTGCTCACCCACAGCTGTACACATACAACTACCTTATATAGTACAACAAAAAATCCTTTCTAAAAGTCCCCTCAGCTCAGGCAGCTCAAGTTCGATCAAAATTTTGTTGGATGCCTGAAGCCGAATTCGTGTTATTGCATGTATTTGAATATTCGTTTGAACACCACAGATGTGTGACCAAGAGTAGACCTTTTAAAGTGTGCAACGGCTGGCTATATCTCTATCCAGTTCTTTGCTGGCAGAGTTTCACATCACATGACATCGTTCAATACGTTGCCACTACTAGCAAACCGTGCAAAAGTGACCAGCATAGAGTTGCAGGATTGTGTGCAACCCTGTACCGACAATGTACATGACTCGTGTATGAATCATGCCCACCATGCAGGAAATGTACCATATTTTCCGTAGTATAAGTCGCACCCAGATTTGATTCACTTGAAAATACCGCCATTCCGGCAACAGGCTCTCAGCTGCACCAAATAGAACTTTGCCAATATTTGGCCCATTGGGCATCATCAGGGCATTGAGGAAAAAAAAGAAAAAAATTCGTCGGGTTCGCGTACCGGGCAGGCCAAGAACAAGGAGTCGTACAACTCCCTGGTCAAGAACCACCTTTCCGCTTCCGTGGGACGCCACTACCCCATGATCAGGCGTCAGATGCGGCTCCTAAACGGTGGGGGAGGATAGATCAGATCCATCAACCAGAGGCCAAAGGCCTAAATCCCATTTGCCACATCCATGTTTTACTCATGCCAGGCCACGAGTTCCCAATTAACTGTGGGCCGGAGCACGGTTGGAAAAAATCCTTCCGCTTCCAAGCAGGACTTGAGCCTGGTACCTCTTGTTTCTCAATCATGGTGACAGGTCTTAGACCAACCCACTGTGCCTGCCTGCACTGGCATTGGGGAAGGGGAGGCAAAAAACACGAAATATAAAGACGAATAATGCAGGCAGATGAATGTTCTGGAACTAACACATCATGGTGACACAATTGGCAAGGCCAGAAAACTAAACAATCATCACTTGTAAGGTGACCTAAACAGAACGAAAGAAGAGAAAACTCACACATACACACAGACACAATTTGGCAAGAATGCAAGAAAACTAACACTAACACTAAAGTTTAAAATTTTCACCTGTAAGGTGACCTAAACAGAAGAAAGAAGATAAGACTATCACAAGATTTGTTTGCCACGAAATACAGACCTCTTACCTGTTTTCCACCATTAATTTGACCATGGTAGTTTGCAGCGACTTTTTTGGGGTGAATTACTGGTGATTAAAGTGCGTCTTACCCTCCCGAAATTATGGTACACAAACTTGGCACACGATGTGAAGTTCTGCTGGCACAGACCACACAGACTGCAGTTGCACACTCTTGTGGGTATCTACGCTTGGTGTGACCCATACTGCTCCATGTGGTAGCAATGTTGTCAGTTCTCGGTATTTAAACTCGCCATATCACAACAACACATGCACCATACTTATCGGTTCCCCAGCCTGCTGTGGCATAGCACTCTCGTGCTCCAGAATCACGCTGAACTAAGCAGCTCATTCTACATAGAGATATCCTACGAAATAGAGTCCGAATTTCCCACCCTGGCATCCCCAGTGCGTTAAGCACCGAATACATAGTTATGTTCTACTAGTACGTTACCATCGGTAACGCAATAGCATGATGACAAGTTAGCACCACTGACCAGCATATCAGCTCCTATCCCACACAACACACAACAACAGTAGGGGCAAGTGAGACATAGGAACATGTAGACTTTCAGCGCCACTGACCTTTTTGTGACTACTACTTCGAAGTAATGTGGGGCTTTGAATAAAACAAGACTCGATACTACTTCGAAGTAGAACCTTGTGTACAGGTGTTATGTTAGTGGCACTCCTGCTGGAAGTGTTCACCAGTTTGGGTATCACAACTTAGTTAAGTGCTTTGTGAGACTTACCGCCTCACCCTCATCACTAGGCGCTGCATCTGCCACCTTGGTATACCAGGTATGGTGGTGGCCTAACACAAGGGAAACTTCCTAAGCTGGTTGTGTTCTTCAACACTATTGTATAGGCGGTGGCAACGCGGACGTGTAAACTTTACTTTTCACTTAGTTCCAGCTGCACTATAAGTACAAGTAAAACGGTGCATCTCCTGCAGTCCTACTGTTGGAAGGTACACGGTGCAGGTCTGACTTGTGCCACTGTGCTTGTGTTCTTCTCGGTACATGCAGCACCAACAGGATGAATTAGAATTTATGGCTTTCTGCTTTGTCGCAATGTACAGGGACCATCTACTGGCGGAAGACTGGAGTTTGAACGGGCTTCGTCAATTGAGCCTCCGATCTTGCCGCTCTCTAATTCTGCAGTCCACAATCTTCTGTGCACTCCAGTCAATGACCCACGGCAAGCAGGTGACAGTGACTCGGTGTATGTTATCCAAGCAGAAGCATACTCACACAAGAGAGGCAATGGCCGAGACCTGCATTTCCAGCGCAGGGTGAACAGTGGCACTTGCCACAGTCATTACCAAGATGAAAGCGTTTCTGAAGACATGACGGACACAGACATGGACATAATTCGGGCTGTGCCTGACCGTGCCCATTGCGCATCTACGACTCATAGCACTTCTCGACTTCCTGCAACCTGCGACAATGCTATGCCAACCAAGGATCTTTCCGCTGCTGCTGATGCTGTAGTAGTGTCGTCCAATCATGATGGCAATACATCCCCCGCCCAGGAATGTGACCACCGCCACCAGCAGCAGCAGCATCGGCAGCGGCACAGCATGGACCTTGACCTCGCCGAGCACTGCCATCACCAGACGCAGAGTGACCATGATCAAGCCACCCGACCGTGCCTTGTGAACAGATCTACCCCTCGTGGGAGCGCTCAGCCCCGCACTCAAGCCCGCAGCCAGTCAGCCAGGTCTCGTGAAATTGATCCACGGATTCAGCTGGTAGCAGAGGCGATGCACAGTGGCCAAGCCAGTACGCGGTAGGGTGCTAGGAATTCAACCAACTATAGATAGCCACATGAAATAATCCAGCGGTAAGTTTGCACAGTGTGCTGTTCAATGAAATCCAGTCCAAGAAATCCAAGATGCGCTTTCCAGTGTTTGCAGGTCTAGGGCTGCGTAACGCCCAGCGGGTATTTGAGTGAGACTGGATTTCATTGAGCAGCATTTAGCAGCCCAGCACCTGGACCCTGTAGCGTTGTTGGCATCATAATAATAATACATAAGCATCATCATACAGCAAGCCTCACTGATTTTTGTTGGGAGTTTCGAATGAAAATTCTGATCAGCCTCACTTGGTTGTGCCGGTTTATTCACTTTATTGATTTTTTTTACATATCCACCCCAAAGCAGAATTGATCCGATATTCGGTACACCATTTCCACCCCGAAGCAGATTTTATCCACAGCCGTATGTATATGTTACACCATGCAGTAATTGCCCACCATTTTAAACAGTTCAGTGAATATTGTTAAGAAACCACCAGGTTCAACCAGGTTAATTTAAAGCGATAGCTGTTTCAGTAAAATTATGTTGTAGTACTACGTTACTAATAAGCTTCTCCAGAAGAAATCAGGCGAGACAGCTATGAGTGAGTACATGTACAGTAAATATTGGAAAAAGCAGGATTAAAATAAAATGTTTTGTACAGTATGAAATTGCAAATAGCGAAGACAAAATAATGATGTCTTGGGCTGCATAATTTTTTTAACTCATGAGCCGAATGACATCTAAAAAATATTTTCGTCGTATATGCCGGTATAACTTCGTTAGTTGTATATGCCGGTATCACTTCGTTAGTTGTATATGCCGGTATAACTTCGTTAGTTGTATATGCCGGTATAACTTCGTTAGTTGTATATGCCGGTATAACTTCGTTAGTTGTATATGCCGGTATAACTTCGTTAGTTGTATATGCCGGTATAACTTCGTTAGTTGTATATGCCGGTATAACTTCATTAGTTCTGATTCAGATGCAATCTCTTGTTCTATTTTGATATTTTCATTGTATTTTCGTAGTGGGGTGTTTAGTATCAGAAGTGCATTATCAACTGTAATTCATTACCAGTTGTTCTGCTACAATATACTGAAAGGAAATAAATCGAATTACCGAGGAGGCTCAGACGGATGCTCTGATTATAGAAACCTGCAACTACTGCAACTACTTTCCATGAATTCCAGGAAACAGGACTAGCCAGCACTTCGCGCTTCACGGACATCGGTCTTCAGCTTGTCGATGGTGGAGTGCAGTTCCACTATTGTGCTCAAGATGGTTCCCAGCACATCCCTGTATTGATGCAGGAGTGCATCCACATAACGCACGAGCGTACACACCACACAACCAGAGACCCGAATGCACAAACACATGTATGCACACGCATCCCCACATACACGCATGCAAACACACATACATGTGCGCAAACACACACGCAAACGAACATTCACGCATGCACAAGCACGCACCCGTATGCACACAAATGTACACACACACACACACCCAGACCCACACCAGCACAAGGATTATACGCAAGAAGGCCAAAAAAATTATCAGCGTCTTCATGGTGTTTGTGCTCCCAGGTATCCAAACACATCATCTGTCAAATCTTCTTATAGACAGTTGGTGTGAGAAACTTTAGTTAGACATACCTTGCAAGCAAAATGGAATTAAAATATAGCTGATTAGGGGTCTGTTTTCCAGGTTCTTATGAGTGGAATTTCCCTGATGATTAGCAGGAGGGGGTCTGTGAACTAGCTTCACTCCTCCTCTCTTCAGCCTATCCTCTAACAAACATGTGTTCAATATGAACTGAGACTTCATCTAGGGTTCCCAGCCTATTGACACTGTCTTAGTATAATCAAATAACCCAGGCTACTCAACTTACCTCTGCTTCTGAAGGCATGTGACCTGCAGTGTAGTTTGATCGCTTTGACTCTCCATCCTCTCAATGATCTGCCGAAAGAATTTGAAAACAAGCAAACAAAAGGAAACACTGGGGGCTCAATAGCCTGGACTTTGGTGTTATTTCTGCGAGAGCTGCAGAAAATTTCAAAAGGTTAAGTGTGAACAAAACCGTACACAACAGTCACGGAGTGCAGAGATGCGACTCGAGTCAGGAGGCATTGGAAAAGCATGATAGATTCAAAGTACTAGTATTTGTCCCACCCTTGACTGCGTCAGGCGAAATAGCACATCATAGTACATTCGAGATCAGCGGGAAGAAGATGACGACGTCCACTAATTTAGTATCTGTGCACACGAATCTGCTGTGTGTGTTACTCTGTGTGTCAGCTATGGCATCATCGCCTGTGGTTCCATGCCTAGCATGTACGTCTGAACCATCCTGCAGAGTTTGAATGACGTAGGTTGAGCGATCGCTCCGCGAAACATACTTTTTGAAATTCTATTCATAGTATATCTTCCACCATTGAAATTTCGAATTTCTTCGAATTTTTTGCTGAGAGGGGTGGCTTGCAACCTCGATATGGCTTGTTCCAGGCATGCTTTGGAGCCATCGCCTGTTGAAACAGTGGCGGGAAGCTGCCCTGCAACTGTTCCAACAGGAAATTAATCGATCCGAGAAAGCGCGAGTCCGCGAATCTCGGTTGAATATTGAGTATTTCAAGCCTTTTCACGACGAAGATGGAGTTCTTTTTGGAGATGGACATCGCGGCAAAGGACATGGTGTCCGACTTCTGGCGTCTGGTGAAGCCAGGGATCATTTGTCCAGTCAGGTCGGCAGCCTAACCGTCGGTAAGCTTGTGTTTGGATCCCGTTCTGCTCGATGTGGTAGATCACAAACAATTTGATATCGCACAAATTGATCTCAGCATCGTGCGTACGGTATTTTACATTCAGAAAATCCCAAAGTGTCTCTGTGTGGCCGTCCTATGCCACGAGAAACTCCAATCAGGCTCCTATGTCCTCTGCCTTCGTGATTGAATGTCCGCTTCGTTTGAACAACGAACACAACAATCGAGGACGGCTTTGCAATGAAAAATACAGCTATACTGGAGCTGAAAAAAAGAAGAAAAAACGTGCTCAGGATGAGACTCGAGTACATGCATACTCTCCCGGCAGGTGAAACGCAAATTTTTGTGAAAAATGCGTGTCGCCGACTGACCGGTAATTTCGCCTGACGGCTTGGCACCAGATGTCTTCTAACAGGCGTAAGCGTCTTTTCCCCTTTCCATTTTTTCTTGAAGTAATGATTATTTCTTGAAGTAATGATTATTTCTTGAAGTAATGATTATTTCTTGAAGTAATGATTATTCGGACAATGTATACCCGTGTATTTCGATGGAACACACACCTACACCCCCCCCCCCCTCCCCACACACCTACACCCCCCCCCCCCCACACCTACACCCCCCCCCCCCCACACACCTACACCCCCCCACACACCTACACCCCCCCCCACACACACCTACACCCCCCCCCCCCCCACACACACCTACACCCCCCCCCCCCACACACACCTACCCCCCCCCCCACACACACCTACACCCCCCCCCCCCACACCTACACCCCCCCACACCTACACCCCCCCCCCCCTCCCCACACACCTACACCCCCCCCCCACACCTACACCCCCCCCACACACCTACACCCCCCCCCACACACACCTACACCCCCCCCCCCCCCCACACACACCTACACCCCCCCCCCCACACACACCTACCCCCCCCCCACACACACCTACACCCCCCCCCCCCCACACCTACACCCCCCCACACCTACACCCCCCCACACCTACACCCCCCCCCCCCCCCCACACACCTACACCTACACCCCCCCCCACACCTACACCCCCCCCCCCACACCTACACCCCCCCCCCCACACCTACACCCCCCCCCACACCTACCCCCCACACACCTACACCCCACACCTACCCCCACACACCTACACCCCCCCCACACCTACACCCCTACACCCCTCCCCTCACACACACACACACACCTACACACATACACCCCCCCCCCCCCACACACACCTACACCCCCCCCCCCCCCACCACACACACCTACACCTCCCCCCCCCCCCACCACACACACCTACACCCCCCCCCCCCAACACACACACACCTACACCCCCCCCCCCCCACACACACACCTACACCCCCCCCCCCCCACCACCACCACCACACACACCTACACCCCTCCCCTCACACACACACACACACCTACACCCCCCACCACACACACCTACACCCCCCCCTCCCCCACCTACCCCCTCCCACACCTACACCCCCCCCCTCCCCCACACACACACACCTACCCCCCCCCCCCCCCACCACACACCTACACCCCCCCCCCCACACACACCTACACCCCCCTCCCCCCACACCCCCCCCACACACACCCCCCCCCCCCCCCACACACACACGTACACCTCCCCCCTCCCCCCCCACACACACACCTACACCCCCTCCCCCACCTACCCCCTCCCACACCTACACCCCCCCCCCCTCCCCCACACACACATAGGTTACACATGCAGGCTGCGTGCGTGCACAGACACCAGGGCATATTTTACTTTGAATCTGCGACACATATCCGAAGGTGCTTCGCACCTCAGAAGAAATGCATAGCAAAAAGCGATGCGATACCATTTAAATTATTCCCTGGACACCTCCCCCCCCCCACACACACACACGTGCTCACCCCTCCCCCACACACGCACACAATGGCTTTCTCACCCGGTCAGTGATGGCTTCAAGGTTAGCTTGCTTGGCACTCATCTGCTGCACGAGGGATTCGAGGTGCTCGACTTTAGCAGCTACGTGGCTGGTTGGCTCCACCAACCTTCTGAGGAACTCCGGTCGGTCCTCACCCAGCTGCGAGAAGTATTGGTCAAGAGTTCCCACCAATTGACCGTGTGATGCATCTGCATTCTTGATGACAAAGTTGATGTCATTGTTTGACTCGGCTCTCGACTGAGCCAAGGAGTTCATGATCTGAACACACAATAGCAGTACATAATTTAAGTCACTATACGCACAAAGCAATAAAAATCACATGTTGGCCTCACTACAAAAGCTATATCTCACTACACCAATGGTAGTTAATTCTACACAAAGGCACACGATGAAAACCGTGGCGAATTCCGTGGTGACCCAGAGGTTCATGGCTGAACCAATCACCAGACAACGACAGTGGAATAGGACGCAGCGCTGGCATATCTAAGTGGAGTTAATTCTATGTAGTTATAAGGTCCTATTTCGCTTTCTAAATGCCTATTCTTTGTTGTCCTAACGCTCAGTGTCACTGCTCTCTGTCAAAAAGTTGTGCCGAGTGTGCAAATGAACAGGACTGCACTAAGATCAACAAGGCAGAGCTGGTATGTTTGCCCAACAGTTCTTAATGGCTTTGTGAACAGCATCATGCATGTCATAATCATGTGAAACTCTCCAAGCGTCCTGCAATTATGACTCGTATACGTCTCATGCGAGTCAATTAACTACAAAGCCAAGCAAACGGAAGTTAGGGGAACATTCAGTGCACATTCTAATTGGGTACTACACGTAAGCATGCATAATATACTGCGCTACTAGAATATGTATGGCTCCTATCTTAGCTTGGGATGTGTAGGGTGCTGGGTGTGAAGGGCGCTGACCAGTCTGCGAAGCCTTTGTTCTCCCCGTGCGCTGGTTGATCTGTAGTGTAATGGAATGACTCACCTGCCCAGTTCGCTCCTCGAGCAGCTGCGACACCGACTCCAAGCGACTCTCCAGCTTCTGAAACTGACCGACGACAAGGCCGATTAGGTGCTGCTGACTTTTCTCACCATCCCTCTTGTTTCTTTCGAGAATCTTCTCAATCCGCACAAAGCCATCGCCCTTGTCCTCCTCCAGAATAGCTGAGCACACAACACACACACACACACACACACACACACACACACACACACACACACACACACACACACACACACACACACACACACACACACACACACACACACACACACACACACACACACACACACACACACACACACACACACACACACACACACACACACACACACACACACACACACACACACACACACACACACACACACACACACACACACACACACACACACACACACACACACACACACACACACACACACACACACACACACACACACACACACACACACACACACACACACACACACACACACACACACACACACACACACACACACACACACACACACACACACACACACACACACACACACACACACACACACACACACACACACACACACACACACACACACACACACACACACACACACACACACACACACACACACACACACACACACACACACACACACACACACACACACACACACACACACACACACACACACACACACACACACACACACACACACACACACAGAAGAATTCAATTAGGATGTATAGTAAAACTTGTCAAGGCAACCACTCAGAAGGCGACCACCTGTCCTAGAAGACCACTACAGCCAGGACCAAGGGATGCCCTTTCCATTTTAGTGACCCTGGATAGGGAGACCACCTGGTAACAGAGACCACGCTTCGAAGGTCCCTCTAGTGGTCGTCTTAGACAGTTTCACTGTACTCTGAAAAACCATACTCTTTGTTCTGTATGGAGCACAAGTAAGTACTTTGATCAGTAAGAGGCACTACTTCAAAGTATGTTAGGATGAGAGGTGTACCTGGGATACTAAGTGCACAGTCCTGCTGAATATTGGGTACTAAGTGCCCAGTCCTGCTGACTATTGGGTATGTCTTCTCAGAGTTCTACTGTACATGCATGCACAGCCATCATCACGAGTCGTATTGGCTGATGATTGCTTTGGGAATGCAACAAACTTGTTTCACTGCGTCCACAATAGGTGAAAACACAACGATAGAAGATGGTGGCTACTTCATTGACCCCATAGCACCAGTAACTAGTATTATTTTATTCCAACCGAAGACGCATTGTGTCTTATCACGGTTTGACACAAACACATGATAATTATAGGAGTTTCTGAGAACAAATCAACACAATCACATTATAACCAATAGGCCCAACAGTCCCTAGTACAACAGGTTCTTCATCTGATCACTCAACCCTTGCAGAATTGACCGTGACTGAATAAGGTTGGCAAAAACGAACGACTTAAAGGGCATGGTACCTTGCAGCTGTTCAGAGTTGAAGCGTTCTGAATAGCATTGCTCCAAATTCAACCAATGCTCTGGCTGAAACCAACACGCAACAGCCAACACAAGACAGGAGAAGACAAGGCAACAGGACAAAAAGACAGGTGAAAATGAAGCGTGAATCAAGTCGAAAGATGCTGGCTGCACCCCCAATCTCTTCTATCTACATGGTTAGTGGCAGAGAGAAGCCGACTGAAGGGACAACAGGAACAGTAGCATGGTATTGTAGTTATCACATGTGACGAGGAAGCCGACTCTTCCATTCCTTGACAGCCTTGCATTCTTTAAATGATGACTACAGGAATGGGCATGGAAGGATAAGGAGAGGGATATTGTTTCTTTATGTCTCAATGATGGTTTCATGTACATTGTGTTTTACAGACGGCAGCACACACCGACACACACGGTGTACAGACGGCATACCTTTCCAGTGATGGGGAGTAAACACACACATACATGGTACATGGACAGCACACTTGATAGGGAGCCCAGATGGCGTGCAGACAGCTCACCCAGTGGGGAGTATAGACAACCTTGTTTTGGTGCCTGATAAGCCCATGGCTGCAATTCATACACAGAGGTACTTACCAGTACATATGTCCACAGTAACTTCTTCGACTCCAGGATGGGAAGAAGCTTGCGTCGATTGGTCTCCAGTGTGCGCAGAGCATCACGCTTGACCACAGCAAACTTGAAAACGACTTCGGCCAGAAACATTGTGCGCAGCACAAGAATAGCGATGATGAGAAAGGCCAAATACCAGATAACAGGGAAAGCTCTGGAACGATAAGAGAATAGAACGGAAGTTTGGAGCAGCAACAGGTGGATGCCATTCATGGATTCTTACTGCAAATGGATAGTTGATGTATAGGGCAGGTCTGCTGAAAGCAAGAAAATTCAGGATCCTTTTCCATCATTAGCTCACTTAAAAACCACCAGTTGTGACCGTCTGACGGAACTGACAGCCTCTACCACAGTTGGATGCAGTTTTTCCTCTTCATACATGTTGGGTCATAGCCTCAAAACTACGGTCCTTTCAATCTGTTTGTTTGCAACAAAGAATTGTGATACAGGGAAATCCGAACTTATTTCAAAAAGTACCTCCTAGCCAACATCCTAGATTTATTTGCCTGTAAAATGCATGGGATCACCATGGCAACATTGTCCGGATCATACAAAGAGAGTTAGACTGTCAGTACTCTGGTAGTAGTAGTACTCACTGATGGTAGTACTCACTGATGGTAGTACTCACTGATAGTAGTAGTACTCACTGATGGTAGTACTCACTGATAGTAGTACTCACTGATGGTAGTACTCACTGATGGTAGTACTCACTGATAGTAGTACTCACTGATAGTAGTACTCACTGATGGTAGTACTCACTGATGGTAGTACTCACTGATAGTAGTACTCACTGATAGTAGTACTCACTGATGGTAGTACTCACTGATGGTAGTACTCACTGATAGTAGTACTCACTGATAGTAGTACTCACTGATAGTAGTACTCACTGATGGTAGTACTCACTGATAGTAGTACTCACTGATGGTAGTACTCACCCAATTCTTCCAGAGTTACTGTAGTAGTTGACCAGACTTCTCCCCTCGACTAGGTCACGAAATGCAAAGAACATAACTTCAAAGTAGGACAGGAACTCCAGACGGGAAGAGTGATCGGTAACCGGAACGTAGGTACCTGAAAACAGAGCGAAGGCATTGTTCACAATCACCCAAAATCAATGCCGGGAATAGGTCCAAAATTATCTGACGATATTACACATTTTCCTCACTTTGATTAGGAGTAGCGAGCTAGAGCCGGTCAAATGAGGTCCTAGAAAATTAGTGCTGAGCGATCGGGATAAGAATCCCCGACCCCACGTGTTTTAAGATACTGATCATGGAAGTCACCGGTCTCTTCCTCTGCATACATGTCAATCAGAGTGACAGGACTGCCCATTTATAGACGTCATGTAAATGATGTCACGATAACGAATCAGCAGATTCACTTATAAGAGCTAAGTACCGTAGAATCCCGCGGATAAGGCCATGCCCGCGCGTAAGCCCAGGGTTTGTTGGAACATCACAAAGCTTCATCGTACAAGCCCATGGGCTTAGGTCATACCGAGAGTCCATAAATTATGGACTCTTGGCATACCATGTCATGCACATTAGTTTTTTTCGTACATTTCAGCACAATCATCAGTTGTTTTTGTTTGCACAGTGGTTTTCAGCAATGTACTTCTCACTTCCTTTCACTTCCTTGATACTTATCAATAGCACAACTTGGTGTCGGCGTATAAGCCCATGCCCGCGTATAAGCCCATGTTCTCGTATAAGCACACCGAAATGTCCTTGTGAAACAGATAAGCCCATGGGCTTATCCGCGGGATTCTACGCTATCCCAAAGTAGGTGATTGCAAGAGTACATAACCAAGAGTGTATAACTCCTATCTCGAGCTATGACCCATGGTAGAATATTTATTGCGTCATTCTTTGGCAGAAGTATGATCAGGGCGTATACCTTCCCACGCTTGTTTTTGTAGATACGGTGAGAGTGCATCAGGTTCAGGACACATCGATCTATCATCCGTTGTTCTGCTTCCACAACCGTAGCTGTGATGTACAAATTCTTTGTAGTTTGATCTCTGGACCTCTGGCTATGCATGGAATCAATGAGCCAGACAGCCACCAAATACTGACGTCATAAGAAAATTCCCCTTGGCTGCGGGATCGTTTTTCTTTCACATTTTGCATTTCGTACTCTTCCACATATATATCGTTGTTTATTGCTAGATTTCAGTATTGAGACGTATTTCCCTGATGAATGTCTGTAGAAAACTGGTTAGGAAATTATAAAATTACGAATTTTACTATCCATATTTTATTCTTGTAGCTTACTACGTCCAGTGTCCGCTTCACTGATTCTGCTGATTGCTATACTTGAATAAAGAAGCATTCTGACAAGGCCAGGAGGAGGAGCCCTCTTGTGAAGCAAGCCGAGTACCCGAAAACATTCCAACCATCCTTACCATTTCCGATGTCTTGAAGTGTCGTGTGCGCTCGCAAAGCAGGGTAGAACGTGCCGCTGAATATGAAGAGCACAACGGCTGCCACAACAGTGAACTTTGGCGGCACCGTCTTCATGACGCTGGTGATCACACTCATGTATACACCCAGTAATCTGACAGTGAACAGCAGCGGATAACAGAAAACAGCGGCCAGCTGTTGGCTGTTTCTAACATGAGTGTCTTGTCACACTGCCCATATCCTTCACAGCCTAGGCAAATCATTGGGTTGATCAAAGACCAAAGATTGAGAAGAAAAAGGGCATCACGCTCTGCTCGGAAGTTGTAGGATTAACCAAATCTGCTGCGAGTTGCACACCTTCTGAAACTTGTGGGCTGCCACAAGGCCCACATTGATGAAGCAAATTTGGGATCTTGGGTAATTCGTGACTGGCTGATATGATCCACCTTTCCCACTGGTTAAAAGAGTAGCACCTAATGCCTGATTATGGGGCGGTGGCTTTCCACAGGGTAGGTCACGATTTAGTTCTTAACCAAAAATCCAAAATACTTCCAAGTACATTCATTTTCATCTTTATCCATCAGGAACAACAGGTTTCCTGTATGCGAGTTTTACTTCAAAGCCGAATGTATTAAGGTTTCCAGTAGCAATGTAATTTCTGCTTCCTGCATTCTTCTAGCACAACGGATGCAGAGTTGTAGAGTGCATGTGCCAAACTCACTCGGATGCTGCCATTAGTTGCACAATCTTGAAGGCTGATGTGAAGTAGATTAATCCCAGCAGTATCCACTGTGCCTCGAAGTCCAGCACATGCAATGGTATGAACACCACTACGAAGACGACAAACAGGATGTCGGTTGCCCGATAGATGTCGAACTTGCTGACATACCGATATAGATTTGGGCTGACACAAAGATGCCCCCGAAGCATATGAAGTCATGAAGGAGCACGTGCAAAGAAACACACACACACACACACACACCACACACACACACACACACCCACACACACACACACCCACACACACACACACACACACACACACACAACCACACACGCACACACACATACACACACACACACACACACACACACACACACGCACATACAACACACAACAGACATACACACACACACAGACACAGACACACACGCACAAACAACAAGGTGTGCTCAGTGATAATGTAAGATAAAGTCTTTCAACTCTCACGTCTTCTTGAATACAATAGCTATAATTATCCGTAACTCAAAGTTTCATGCCACTGCAATCATCGGACGACTGATAAAAAACCTACTTACTATTAAGACTGATCATTATGAATAAGATCATGCGTGATACTTAGCGCTTGGATTGACATTTCTCTACGCGATTCACAAATGAAGGCCAATACCACACAGACGTTATGGATGATGCAATATCAGACATGACTGTGCCGGGTACTGTCCTTGCGCTGCAGCTGGGACTGGATGTAATGTTTTTTTTGTGGCGGCATTTTCACACTAGTTCGATTCTTTTGTTCAGGCTCTTCAGGTTGTTGGCATTGGTCAGATTAGTAAGATTCTTGATTCTTCCTCGGTTGCACCTTTTCGACTTGTTGGAATACGCCTGTGTCCTTGTGCAAACATGCCACGGAGCAGAGAATAGGATTCCACACATGATTAGAAAGTTCAGTCTTGTTCTGATACCGTTCGTGGCGAAAGCACATTGCATGGTTATTGTGCCTGTCCTTGAATTAAAACAGCAGGCAGGCATAGTGGGATGGTCTAAGACCATGATTGAGAAACAGAGGCTACCAGGTTCAAGTCCTGATTGGAAGCGGAAGGATTTTTTCCAGTCGTGCTGCCACCCACAGTTAATTGGGAACTCGTGGCCTGGCACGAGGAAAACATGGATGCAGTGAATGGGATTTTCGGTCTTTGACCACATGCTGGTGAGCTGATCTACTCACCTCTCACCGCTTTAGGAGCTGCATCTGCGCCTTGATCCTTGAAGGGTGGTGGAGTTCCTACGGATGCGGAAAACTCGGCCTCTAGTCGAGTCTCACGCGAACCGTGAAAAAATTGATTAAAAAAGAAAAAAAAGGCTTGATATCGGAGACAGAATGGAGTGCATGGCGAAAAAAAGGAGGCATTCATATCGCTAAAAGATCACAAAGAAACTTCCCGGATCGATTGATTGCCTTGCCGACTGATCAACCCAGCCAAGTCAGAAGTAGGAATAGTCAGTAAAAAGCTGCTAGACAACATCAACCGTAGAGTCAGGAACCAAATCGGAATTCAGTGGAAGAACACCGGAGGAGTCATCGGATGGTTCAACGGAATCCAACAAAAGGACAAGTGCACATTCACAGTATTCAATATAGTTGAATACTATCCTTCAATCTCGGAGCAGACACTGCGCAATGCACCGGATTTCGCCGAGCAGAAAGTGGAAGTAGGACAAACCGACAGAGACATCAATATTCACCCAAGGCAGTCCCTGCTGTTCGACGCAGACAGAGCATGGTCGAAAAGAGACGGTAACGGGCTATTCGACGTTACGATGGGATGTTATGATGGTACAGAGGTGTGCGAGCTAATTAACACTTTCGCGCTACACAAGCTGACGCAGGATTTGAACAAGGATGACATCGGCCTGTATCGTGACGACAGACTTCTAGTATTGTGCAACAACACCGGGAGTGAGACCGATCGCACTAGGAAAAGAATGATTCAAACATTTAACGAGTTGGGGCTGCACATTACTCCCAACATCGTAGAACAACTTCCCGCTACTATGCTGCTATAAGTCGCCGGGTGACAGACCTGTCACACGATGAGACATTTAATCTGGCCGCCCCTCTCTACAATGAGGCCCTCCATGCCAGTGGATATGAAGAGAAAGTTGAATATAAAAGCGGACGGAAAGAAGGGCGGAACAAGAAGACGAGAAACAATCACCGCAACATCACATGGTTCAACAAACAACGTACAAACAAATGTGGCCGGAATATTCTTACATCTTATTGATAAACATTTCCCAAAAGGCTTACCACTCAGTTAAGTATTCAACAGGAACACAGTCAAGGTCGGTTATAGCAGCATGCAAAACGTACGAAGCATTATCGATGCCAATCACAAACGAGTTCTTACAGCGACTACAAACCAGCCACAACCCCCCTGCCAAGACATGTAACTGAAGTAACGCCGCACAGTGCCCCCTTGATGGTGATTACCTGTCGAGATCAATAGTGTACCAAGGAACAATAAATGACGACAGGGAGTACACCGGACTCACCGAGCCTCCCTTCAAGGACCGGCACAATAACATACAATGAGCTTCCGCTACGAACAGTATCAGAACAAGACGGAACTGTCAAATCATGTGTGGAACCTGAGGCATGCGGGGACGCCATTCTCTGTTCGGTAGCATGTTCACACAAGGACACGGGCGTATTCTAACAAGTCGAAAAGGTGCAGCCTATGCAGAATCGAGAAGCTTACTATACTGAACAATGCCAACAACACGAAAAGCCTGAACAAAAGAAGCGAACTAGTGTCAAAATTCCACCACGAAATCAAATATTACATAAAAAACGTCACACCTAGCGCGACATAGAACAAGAAGCAGCCCGTCCCAGCTGCCGCGCAAGGACAGTACCCGGCACAGTCATGCCTGGTTTGGCATACAAGTAACATGTACTTTAGTGCTAACATTATCCCATTACCTATCCCTCACATCATCCATAACGTCTGTGTGATACTGGCCTTCATTCGTGTAGCGCGTAGAGTAATGAAAATCTAAGCGCCAAGTATCACGCATGATCTTATTCATAATAAATCTTTAAAAAAAAATTATTATCATTTTTTTCCAATGCAGTGGCATGAAAATTTGATTTACGACAAATCCAAATTGGACCTATTTTCTCTTTTTTCGTGTGAAGCGCTCTGCACTTTGTGCATTGAGCACTTTGCCGGCAAATACCAAAATTACGCCTTCGTAATTAATGAACCAGATATTGCATACACATACCTGCGCCACACGCGTACGAACTCTCGTATCAACAGCATCAGTGCGCGGAGAGCAACAAGGGCTTGGCACACCAGTCGTATATAATCCACGGCGCTCGAGAACGTCCTCGGCTCAAGTGCCTCGGGGGCAGTGATGGTCACGAACGTTATCGGGACCAGGGAGAGAATAGTGAGCACAATTGTGCACCTGCATGTAGCAAACAATACAGAAAAAAAGAGTTTGGACTGCTGTAACTCCCCATACCAGTCAGTAGTCCATGTGCCTATCGGTGAGTTGTAGATCTTGTAAAAAAAAAGAAGAAAAAAGAAAAAAAGTGGTAGCATCTCGCTACAGTCAGACCTCGCTTATCCGGTCCTCTTTTATCCGGATCCCTCGCCATTCGGAAGAAAATCGTTGGTTACCGATTTACAGCATATGCCATGCATACATACAGTATGTGTGTGTTCGACCATCCGGTTCCCTCGCCTATCCGGATATTTTTGTGGAAAACGGATGTGTGCGGTTAAGCGAGGTCTGCCAGTACGAGATGATAGTACTACACTGTACACAAGTTATGCTCTGGGACTGTGTGTATGAACACATCACAAGTCATGCTCTGGGACTGTGAGTATGAACACATCATGAAATGGTTCAATAGTACACAGTGTCTATCAGCAGATTAAGGAGCTTTTTTCGGGAATTAGAATCTTTGGCAGGCTCCTCTGGACTCGAGAACTGCACCCAGAGTTGTATTCTGGGTATGTGAATGAAGCGGAGTTGTACAGATGTGATGGGCACCCAAGGCTCCTTGACTCTAAGGATGCAGAAAGTGTATCCATGGCCCATTCACACTTACGCCCACAGTGCACAATATTAGCTGCAGAGAGCATAGCCGACTTACTTCATCAAAAAATCTCCGTAAGCATGCCACTTATTGTTTAGAAGCAGTCGCACCAGACGATGCCCGTGATATGCCTGTAAGAGCACAGCATTTTAACAAGGCAATGAAGAACGACATACCGGTCACGACAATATCGGCAAACACCAGCACAAGGGGGGGGGGGGGGCTGTTTTTTATGCAACGACTTCGGTAGAAGCTGCATCTTTTGGTAGATGCATTTGTTTGGCAAACCCTTAATGGGAGATTCAACTTTCCACTACTGGTTCCACCAGGCCCGAGGCAGGTAGAAGTCATTAGAGGTTGGTAGAGGTAAGGTATTTCCACATCTCTAATTGCGTGACAACGAGAGTTTGTTTCCACAAATTGAACTCCTTTCGCATGCAGAAACAACAAGCATCAATTGCTGAGCTCTGCAAGCCAGAAAATTCTTCCGCAATATTGACGCCTCTTAGAATGAGCTGGTCCCGCCAACTACCTTGTGGCTACTCTAGGACAGGTCACATCTCCAGATAGTCCCACTGGCTTTTGAAAGCCTGATTTTGGCCAAATCAATGCTTTAAAACCCACAAGTAAAATTTAGGTTTCAGACTTGATTTTCAATACTGTTTGCAATGGAATACCTGTTTTAATAAGGTGAAGTATGGCTCCTCAGCAGGGTCTCTACAAAAATTCCACTTATATGGTATTCCTTGTATCATATTCTTACATGTGATAAATCAGGATTGGAAAGAATGTGATCGAACAGCGACTTGAACACACCGCAGTATGACAGCGGGGCATTCAGTAAGGCGTAGTGGGCTTCAAACGCAATGTCGCCACCCTCATCTGTCACTTGGTCGATCTGTCGGTCCAAAACCACCTGAACTGTCGGCTACACGCACGCATACACACACATGCGTCAGAACACATGCGCACACAAAAAGACAGACATACATACACTTAAATGTCTGTATGTCCTAGTTTAGGCTATCAGACAAGCCAGTCAGCGTGCAGACTTGATGAGAAATCCAACTAAAAAGCCAACTTATCCGGGTCGCGGCGTGCCACTTTATTACGCGGAATATTTACCCCAACAGGACTTCCCTGTGAGCCGAAAAGAGTTCCCATTGAACCCAGGGCATGAGTGAGTACTTTGGTCTTACTCCAGAGTTGCTCTGCCGGACCATGTTGTGGAATATCTCCAGCCCTTTCTCTTCCAGTAGCTGTCGCTGAAGACTGTAAACAAAAACACATACGTGAACAATGTCAGAATAAAACAAAGTCAAAGTAGAAAGCTTTGCTGTAGTGACGCGCATTTAAGCACATGTGCCTATACCCGGGCATTAGCGCACCCTCACAAATAACTGCATGGGCTTATAAGTGAACCTAAATGCAGTCCATTCCCCGACACACACACACACCACAAAAATACCATGTTCACATAGTTCAATGTGTATTGCGATATCGTACTATGCGCATAATTATTCAAGGTATCGGTACACTAGCAACTCAAGCGCATGCGCCTATGTGTGAGACAAAACGACCCGCATAGCAAATAACGCAAAGACTCACTGGGCCTTTATGTGCGTCACTACGGTAAGTGATAATGGTAGGGGTACTCTGGTAAATTTCAGGCCCTGGTTTTCACCTTGGTCTCCAGAGTGAATTTTGTTACTAGGAGGACGTTCGCCGCCGGTCGTTGCATCTGCTCCCTTACTTGGCCTTAGCAGACCAGACAAAACAGAACTCATGGCCCGCTGATTGAGCAATACGAGTACACATAATTCCGGTGGTAATTGAAGCATCGGAAGGAAGTGCAGTTATGGGAATATAGCGTTTCAAATTTCAATACAATCATGTGTGCTGAGCCATACGAGTAACTGGTGAGGAAGTCCATAACCACCTTCGCCACTTCAGGACAGTTGGTAACTAGAGCGCGCTGAAGTGGTGTAAATCCACTTGCATCCTTTACCTGCGGAGCAGTGACAAAACAAAATGCAAACGGTTTGAACGGGTTGGGTTACTTTAAACAGGATGGTTTGTGGTACCTTTGATGGTTTGTGGTACCTTTACCGGGCAAATCAATATCACCTTTAAATATCTGAAGAAGAATTCGGTTCCACGACAAATTACACCAGTGGAAAAGGAAATCTTACGAAAAAGAGAACCGACTTGTTGGTTCAAGATAAAAGCAAAATGTAACTATAAACACAAATTCACACACCAAGTACAGAAGCCACTGTGCATTTTGAAGAGGCCATCTGTGCCATTACACTTCAAAGTAGTTTTAATTGCGATAGAGCAGCAACAATCAAGTCCATATATCTAGCATTTTGGACGGTCCAGCCAGTGATTGAAATAGTACCTAGTAAAAGACCGCGAGAGGTGCCAGCTACATAGTGAAACCATTAAAAAATATCACAGTTTGTGTCAGACTCGGCTAGAGGCCGAGTTTTCCGCATCCGTGGAACACCACCACCCTTCAAGGATCAATGAAACCATAAACACAGAGAATGATACAACAGTGGGACTACAGTACTTCGGTGCTGTTCGGTGAATTCCGATCGTGTGAGTCAAGTTCGCGCCCTCCACCTGTTCACAACCCAGTGGTCACAGGTCTAGGGCTGCACAGCGCCCGGCGTGGCATTAGGTCCATTGCTCAGATTTCAATGAGCATCACTGTACAATGTTAAAACAGTGATAACGTTCACACATACTTCTTCTGTACCCACAGTTCAGGTTTCAACTGGGCAATATACATCTTTTCCAACCCCGCCAGGTGAGATTTGACAATGACGACAAAGACAACGAGATGGATCCGGTATTATACCGACACCTAAAATCGTCACCAGCTTGCTCGAGTGCAGTCTGCACATACAACACCCGCTCACTCTTAAACATCTAAGTAGGTGCGCAACAAATCGTATCCGGCTGTGTTGGAGGCGGTGTACATTGCCAAGCTGAAAAACCTAGCTTCCCTAATTCTTCCTGCTTGATTAGAAAGATTTCACACTATCATCAATCAAACTCACTCACCTCCAGAGCATGGTTATCTATCCCTATAAGAGTTTGTATAGTTTCCAGCTTCTTGAGGCAGATAGCACGATGTATGGCTGTTCCACCATCAGGATGCGCGTGTAACAGATTAGCACCATGCAACTTCACCAGGGCTTTGGCCGTCACTGCTAGCTGAGAAAGAGAATACACAATTACAGCATGTAAACACACACACACACACCACAAACACACACATACACAAACACACACATACACAAACACACACATACACACATACACACACACACCACAAACACACACATACACACGCACACACATAACACAAACACACACAAACACACACACACACGCACACACACACACACACACACACACACACACACACACACACACACACACACACACACACGTGCATTCACCCCTCCCCCACACATACAAACAAACTTCTGAAGCGAGAAAGGGACCAATACTCCCCATGTATTACAATGGCTATCGTTGTTGGCTATCGTTGTTGGCTATCGTTCTGATGCCTACGGCTGCTATAAGCACTTTATCGGAAAATCAACTTTCTGCACGTGTGCCATTCATTACCAGTGCACAGTCCTGCATAATACATAAATTCCCACTGATAGCGTATCAAGCAATTTCACAAGGTCCGAGATATTGCTGTGATTTAAAACTTCAATCCCCAAAAAGGGCCAAAGTTAGCAAACCATGCTGGTCCTCATTGGACGCTGGGATTTCTTGGAAAAGCTACCGGACCTAATAATCAATCACCAGGCAATAGTTTGATTGGTTATTACCATGCCACTGAGTTACAAGAAAAGAAGGCCTACTTTCCTCTGTGTGCCTCTTGTGTCATTCTTTATTTCTTATGTTTTAAAAACGTTTCCTGTGACTTTGAATGAGATTAACGTGCTGGCTGTGGTGTCATCATTAAGCTTGAAGAACCGCAAGGCCATTGCAAAGTCAAATGTGTACAATAGATTCATTGGTCACGTTGCGACTGTAGCGGAGGAACTTGGCAAACTATTGCAGCAAACAGGTGGGAGCCCAATGAATAGGCTGAGGCCAATTGCCGCAAGAAGAGTCTCCAGCGATTCCTTCGAAGATACAATTAAACACGGCAGAAAAGTTATACTCGTACTTATAAAAGGTTGGGCAGGTTGCATCAAAGACGCCACAAATTGCCATGAGAAGAGTCTCTAGAGACTCCTCCAAAATAAAAATAAACACACTGTTCAGAGTGAGATCTGAGAAAGGTTGGGCAGGCTGCATCAGGTGGCAAAGGGGAACCAACTGCACAAGATTGCACATCCCTCAATGCCACAGCAGAGCCACCCAACCCCCCCCCCCTCCACCCACCCACCCACACTCGTTACCAAATAGTTGAAGTGTTGTCAACACACTTTTCGACAAAAACAAAAATAAATTAAAAATTATCACGGCAAGCATAGCAGGGTAATATTTCACAGTCTACCGTACAGGAGAATACCAATTCACATTCATATGCAAGACAGAGTTCCGACCTTGGTATCCTCCATCAGGTCGCTGGCCATGAAGATTTGCAACATCAGCTCATCTGGTTGAGCTCTTGGAATGGTCTCGGTGGTGAACGTGAGAGCAACGTTCGCTATAATGGCACCCATTGCCGACATGTCATCAAGAATGTCACCCTCGTCTGGAAGAGCTCTCTGCTCGTTCAGAAAGGACTGTACCTGTACATGACCAAGCAAAGGGAGAAGCCGCATTACGGAATTGATACCATGATCAAAGCTTTTGGAAGAATTCATACCTTACTTCCCAGATCATAGGCCACTCACGACTATGAGTCACATAGTCACATGAACACAACGCCAAAATCTGTTCTTCTGAGGTCGAGGTATGAATCGAATGCATGCACTTCATTTTTATCCTTTTTATCGATGTCTCGAATATATTTTTAGGACTGATGAGTTTGCTCCTACACTGGAGCTCGCACTTCCGCCAACTTGACTTGACACTTGACTGACTGACAACTGCCATCCAGAGCACAAGAGAAATCCATCGAACCTTCGACTCGGCAAACCTGCAAGAAAGCATCACTCCCTGCTCAATACACAGTGTTTCGGGAAATTCACCCCTCATCAGTTGAGCTTGAGTAGGCCGAGGAAGATTGTGCCTGAAGAGCACCACTTATATAGTGCTCTCAAGGCATAAACATCACCAGGAATTCAAACTTACAGAGACGCTCCGTTTCCAGCGCAACAAACACCTCATGAAAACCAGACAGCAGCGTGAGTCAGTGTCGCTCCTGGACGGTGAGAACAGAAGTAGAGGACCCTGGGTCATTCACAACGCTGTCACCTGCAAACCAGCTAGTCGCCAGCCCGTGCTGGGCACAACAGTACGAAATAGTGTCCAGGAGTGACACTGACTCACGCTGCTGTCTGGTACTCACGAGGTGTTTGTTACGCTGGAAACGGAGCGTCTCTGTAAGTTTGTATCCCTGGTGATGTTTGTGCCTGTCATTGTACTGGTGGCTTCAGGATCAGAATCACAGCACTTGTTGCCGTTTCTGTTGAGTCGTGATAGTTTACACATAGTAATTAGGCTCTGTGTTTCTTTTCCTTTTCATTTATGCTGGATAACGTAAATGCTCCAGGAGTGAAAAGTAGTGCCCTCTCTTTAATAGTGCTCTCTCTCCCTCTCTCTTGAATAGTGCTCCACCTGTGATGGACAAAATAGTGCCCCAGGGGAACTAATCGCGCGAGTACGGTTTCATTTACTATCCAGACTTGCATGCACGACTGGTAAATGCGTTTCAGGTGCCAGTGGGTTTTGGATCATTGTCTACTGATGAGGATTATCTTGTGACCGATGTCGTACTAACGAGTGTAGACCTGTGCTTACCTGTGCACGAAACATGCTAGGGATATCACCTTCCAGCCTCTCTGCCGCTAGGCATTCTTTCCACAGACCAAGTACATGAACTGTGTCATGTGACATGCCACTCTCTCTTCTGGGAAACACGGGAACTTCTGGGATAACACCATCTGAAACATATACAAACACGCATTCACACACATGTACGCGTGCACGTGCACACATACGCACATTGGCACACCTTTATTGACCTTTCGTCGAACGCTAATTGCCAAAAAAGCCAATCCACACACATGCATGCCCGATCGCTTTTTACCAATCAGATGTCGTTGCAGGTGAAGCGTAGGCTCAGTAAATCCAGAAAATCCAGATTTCTACAGTTAAGCAGAGCGGCTACTCACTTTGGTCTGAAATGCAGAGGAAAGAGGTAACTGCCACTATGTGCAAGGCTACTCGACAAGCTAACAGTGAGATGCCATGGCCGAATCACTGCTGCCTAGAACAAACGAGTTATCACTGGAAGCTGCAATATCACGGACTGCAGCCCACTGCGTGTTCAAGTTGTTGGATAGACCTGCCACTACTTCGTACTCCACTGCCAGTCCTGTGCCACCTGGAAGGAGGCACTCGCCAGTAGAGGTTGGCAGCTCCCAACTTTAGCTCGCAGTATGTTGTCGCATAGTTCTGCCACTGCTTTGCACTCCGTTGCCAGCTCACTGCTCCCAGAGGCAAGTTCGTCAATAGCGACCGCCAGCTTCTCAACCCCAGCCCATAGTACGTTGTCTCACTGGGCTGCCACTACGTCACAGGTCACAACACCACGTCACAAGTCACAACCTGCACTGTCCCATGTGCCTACTACTCTCTCTCCAGCAGTGTTCACCGTCAGTAGATGATGACTCATTTCTCGTTGGCTGACGTAGGAAAGAAATGAGAAATGTAGTTTTTTTTGCATGACGGTACATTTGCTGCTCGCAAATGCGAGATAGTAGGAGCATGCGCTCTAGCTGCGGCATACTTTTTCTCTTGCTTTGCAAGTGTAGTATTCTTGCTGTTGCTGCTGTCCCCCGCAGAGGCTGTTTGTTGTTGCTGTGTGTGTGTGTGTGTGTGTGTATGTGGGTGTGCATGTGAGGGAGGTGTGTTAGGGGTGGGAGCAAGTATGGTGTGGCTGCACACAGGAGTGAGAAAGAGTAAAAAAGAATTCACACCATCTAGTTGGAGGTGATCATTGCATCCGGAACACCTGTTGTTGATGTGAGAAACGACTGCATCACATGGCGAGATTCTAAAGGAAGTTGGTGGAAGGTGCAATTCATGCTTTTTGGCTTCTTAGTAGGTGTTTTCTTTTACTTCCGAGCTGAGATCCACCCACACAACACGCACCTACGCCAATATCTGCACTATCAATGGCTAGCAGCTTCTGTCTGTACAATTCATATACATCAGTATCTGCACACACTTGAGAGGGACGAAAAGCGTTTCTTCTGTTACTCTGAGTTTCACGGTTTTAACCGATCATCAGACAGCAACCGTGAAACTCAGAGTTACAGCAGAAACGCTTTTCGTCCCTCTCAAGTGTGTGTACTAGGCTCTGCACCTTGGTGTATTGAGCACTCTCACGAGCAACCACAACTCCCTCCGAGTTTACATCAGTATCTGTACACGTCTTGTCATGAAGTGTGTTCACAGCAGTGTGATAACGCACCTTTACCCAAGCATAAATGCAGTAGGGAAAGGAACGTATTGAATGAAAAACATGCACACGAATTCTACAAGTAATTATCTGCATGTATTTTTAAATAGACAGGTGTCTAAAATCCCAAAGCTCAGCTCCTATAGAGTAATACAACTGCCTGACGAGTTTTATTTTTCAATCGCGAGGTTCTCAGTATCTGCAAAGAAAGACTTAGTTGTGTCATTGCCATGTGAGAATATTATTTTTACCATTGCATTTTCAAAGGATCGGTCGGGAAAGTGAAAGGCCGGAAAAGAGAAAAATGACAACCCCACCAGAACTCAAACCCGGGACCTTGCTTGTGTCATGAGCAATGCTCTAACCATCTGAGCTATGGGACCAGGGCGAACCTGGCAGGCGCTGACAAGTTTTTCACTCCAAGGGCAGCTCACAACACGTGCCACCTACACTGATGGCACTTTTTTTTCCTCTGGGGAGGGAAAAGATCCAAGTGCCATCAGTATAATTATGTGCCACGCTTGCATTTTGAGTGAAAAACTTGTCAGCGCCTTCTGGGTTCAGCCTGGTCCCATAGCTCAGATGGTTTGAGCATTGCTCGTGACAAGCAAGGTCCCGGGTTAGGGGAGTTCTGGGGGGGGGGGGGCATAGTTCTCTTTTCAGGCAGTTCACTTCCCCGACTGAACCTTTGAATTTGACGTTCTCCCAGTCCTTTCAAAAACTGTATTTTCAGTACCAATAAGAGTCCTCCGGCTCGGTAGAGTGCTCAATATTCATTCGAATAGAGCTCAGATCACACACAGACTCAGAGCCACACACATCATCGTTGTAAGTGGTAACTAATAGTGTCGTCACGGGTTTGAAATCGTGAACGAACTGCCTCTACGCTCCTCACCACGCCACACAACAGAGAGCCAGTACAAATTGTTAGAGAGCTTTTCTTCTACTTCATTTCAGTAGGCGACTGGGGAACTCATAAAGAAGAACCAACACTGACAACGAACGCCTGACAACGAACGTCTGACTCTGACAACGAATGTCTGACGACTGACGACGACCGTCGGACAACTGACCACGAACGTCGGACAACTGACCACGAACGTCGGACAACTGACCACGAACGTCGGACAACTGACAACTCACGACTGACATGGCAAAAGGAAAACATGATATCATAAATTGGTGCCCTCGTCAGCACAAAAGGTGGTGTACTCAGCACAAAAAGGTGCACGTGTCAACAACAAAGCAGCGCAGCAGCATGTACGGATCGGCAACAAAGCAGCATGTACGGATCGGCAATAAAGCAGCATGTACGGGTCAGCAGCACAGAGACACAAATACAACAGCAGCTACGACGAAGAGACAACACGTGCAGCCACATGTACACACAGAGACACAAATACAGCAGCAGCTACGACGAAGAGATAACACGTGCAGGCGCAGGTACAACAATAGTGTCATGCCCATAGGCAATTATCAGGCCACAGATCTGTGGTCTGATTGCCTATGGGCATGACACTATCAGAGAGATTAAGCTACACATTAATTTTGACGTGACGCGAAAGTTCAGCTCGCGTTATTTGGCTCCGCACACATAGGAAAACAACGCGAGTGACCTGCAGCTCACTTCAAAATTCGGACTTTTACGCCAAATTTGATGTGAATAACGTGGTGCTCAACATCTCTATTAGTTACAGCCGCATGATGGGTGGTGGTCTGTGGCTTGTGTGTATTTTCAGTACATATTTACAGAAATACCTATCGCCGGCACCACAATGTAAATGTACATCAATGAATCTGTATATCAAGCCGTACAGTCAAGTGTCGCGTCAGTGGACGGAAAAGCGCGAGCTCCGGTGTAGGGAGCATCAGGCTTTGCTATAACGCTGTTTTAGGTTTTATCATCTGGAAAGCTATGGAATGAGAATGCGTCGTCCCCAGGTGTTACGCTGTTGGGAGATCACTGGGGAGACAGCAGCTATAGACGAAGACATGGAACTGTACTCGTACAGGATACAGAGCCACGCAAAACCACAGCACGCTGTCAAAAACACAGCCAACCTACCAAAACATCAAACCAGCTTCTTTTCCAACTCAAATTCTGTCAAGTACAAGTACACCCACACGGTTTTGAAAACGACCGTTACACGATGATGTAATAATCGTGAAACTCGCAAAAGGCCTATTAGAATTATCCAGCCCCTCGTGGCTAGAGCAAAGCTGAACTAGCAACATCCAGGGCATTCCGCATACGGGACACGGTGGGACAAAGCACGAACCTTTCCAAGGTGTTAGGATATAGTTATCCGGTGTCGTCTTCACGCCTGGCCATGCGCTAGGCTCTACCTGAATGTCGACGTCAACGGCGGTCATATCAGTCAGCCTCTCTTCAGCGTAGCGCCCCACGCCTGTAACAGATACAGATACACTTTAGATATCAGGGTTCTAGCCAGGTAAAAATAGTAGCCGGGGGCGGGCATGGGAAACAGGTTATAGGCGATTCACACGACAGGCAATTGCACGTTTTACAGGGAGTGATATAAGAGAAAAGTGACTGTGTGGATCCAGACGGCTCCACTCGACGACAGGCACGTTTGCACTTTTGAATGCTTCACCCACCAGTAGCCATGGGTGTTTCAAATTTCCAACACGCATACTACAATTATCATGTTGAAAAGTGCCGCGTAAAAAATCAAGTCTTGTTTCGCGCTTTTTGGTGTAAAATGTACTCGTGCACGCCACGATTACCGTGAAAGTGGGCCCCCAGCTCGCTTGCACTTTTAAGCCACTTTTATCGTTCACAGGTAAAATACCATAGCAACATTCGGGTGCACAAAGTCATGGTTTTGCCTGTCGTGTGAATCGCCTATTACCCCGTATCCCATTTTACACTTTCCAATACTGTCTGGCCACGCTAAACGCAACGTATGGGGCGAATCCCCGACTTCGCCTCAGACAAACGTGCCTTTATGAACCATCTAATAGTGACTTTCGACTGCATTTTCGTTGAATTGCATGAAAAAACACGAAAATCCGAAAATGAGTAGGGAGGCGACACTTTTACACAGGGCGGGGGCGCAAACAGAGTAGGGGGTGATGCCCCCCCCCCCCCTGGCTAGAACCCTAGGCCTAGATATAATACACTATAAGTCCAAAGGGGGGGGGGGGGGAGATACAAACACATTGAAACTTCAATATTACGTTTTCTAATCGCTACATCTGTACTTTATAGTTATAACCGGTTCAACCTAGGTACTAGCTGAGGTACATGTGAAGTGACTGGTATTGCGTAATTTAGAGTCCTCAGAAAATGGTACTGTATGCCAGTGGAGAGGTTGCGCACAACGAAAATTCGTAAGATTTCGACCGTCCGGGTTAGAGTAAGGAAAGTTTCTACGAAGATCCATCCAAACGCGACCGAAACAGAGATCTACGAAAATATTTTTCGTAAAATGCAGAACTAAAATACTGATATTTTACAACTCCCTACATGTATCTTCACTCTCCGCGCATGCGCCGTGTCGACCTACTACGAAAAAGTTCACACTTCGGGCGCAACTTCACGGTTTACGAATATTCGTTAGCTTAAAATTAATTCGTTGAAAATATTCGTTCCGGCGCTACGAATTTTCGTTGTGCGCAACCTCTCTGGAACTTAGTCGTTATGTGCGAAGTAGGTTTTAGTTTCACTGCACTTGTAACCATGGTAACTACTAGTACTACCGTAGAATACCGCGGATAAGCCCACCCGCGTATAAGCCCATGCCCGCACATAAGCCCAGGGTTTGTTCGAACATCACACAGCTTCATCGTACAAGCCCATGGGCCTAGGTCATACCGGGAGTCCATAAATTATGGACTCTTGGCCATACCATGTACATGTACATGTACGTAGTACATGCACATTATAGTTTTTTTGGTACATTTCAGCACAATCATCGGTTGTTTTTGTTTGCACAGTGGTTTTCAGCAATGTCCTTCACACTTCCTTGATACTTTTCAATAGCACAACTTGGTGTCGGCGTATAAGCCCATGCCCGCGTATAAGCCCATGTTCTCGTATAAGCCCACCGAAATGTCCTTGTGAAACAGATAAGCCCATGGGCTTATCCGCGGGATTCTACGGTACCAGCCGGCCTAGCCGGGGACGGGGTTGAAAAAACCCTTGAATACAGTAAAAGTAGAAACTCAGTTCGTGAAGACGAATAAAAATTTAAATGCTTGCAAGCAGCGAAGGAAGCTACTGCTGGTACTTGACGTGACAGAACTAGAAGAAGGGTGAGCACGGGAGCATTGCAGAAGCTCTGAAACCAGCACAAGAGATTTCTAACAGGAGCGTAAGCATGGCAGTGCAATACAGACTCAGTGCACAAGACAGCAGTTTCGACGAGCGGTACGCGGTGAGAACTACTCGAAGACCTACGCCATTGTACATTATACTCACCGACTTTAGCCAGTTTCGGTGCGTCGACACGCTGCATCTCCTGGTTCAGCGGTGTGTTCCACCACTCAATGTCGCGTTGAGCCATCTTTGCGGCTGTTCAGCTTCGCCATCTTCACTGGGGTTGTGCAGAGACGTCACGACATGGAAGCAAGCTATCTGCAAGGAGACGCCCGCAGACTTGCAAAAGATTTGTACTGCCGGGACGAGTGCAGTGCTGCAGTACAAATCGCTGACACAGTGGCAGCCCATCCGTTCTCATGGTTCTTGTTCGGAGGACTGATACTACTATCTAGTGATAGCTGAGCTCGGGAAGCGAGGAACAGACTGATGGTGAGAAGAAGCGCAGAAAGTGCTATGCCCGCGCCCACGTCAGATGTGAGATCACCAAGTCAGTGAGCGCATGAGCAACCGCTCACGTCGCTCAGACGTAGCTACGTAGATTTATGGTACAGACTACAGTAGATCTACTATATACTACTGACTGTACTATGCACAGGGTCTACCCGGACCGGGCCAGATTGCCCCATGACGCGACGGTCGAAAGCCTAGTAGATCTACACATGCAGTGCTGCCAAATAATTTTTGCCCAAAATCGGACACCCTTCACTGTAATTGTAAAGGCTGGCCACATGTTGCCAAGTTTTCTCCTCGGCATTTTTTTTACAGAGAATTCAAAATATCGCTAAAACACCATGAAAATTCGCTTCGTTACCATGGTAACCCCGGAGTTGTCATGAATTTGGTAATGATGAGTGTGGTCGCACACTGACTCTGTACACACTGTCAGCGTAGAGTCTACATGCCATCCAGCCTGATCCAGGCATGTTACTTTGCACTTCCACAGCCAAGTGCTAGCCTTTTTAGAAGCAAATATACAGTGATTTGTGCCTTCAGTTGCGCTGAAAAGTGAAAGTACAGGACTTCTCGCACAGCGATAAGCCACACTCGCTACACACCAAACAACAGCACATTTGTATTGCGGTTAGGAGGGCCAGAAGTGTGACACCACGTTCTTTTACATGGAAGGATGCGGAATTGTAGAATAGCGGAAGAAGGGACAGAGCACATGGATATTCTGTGAAAGCAACGCAATGGCAGCAACTGAGAGAGCAATGACCGAAAACCAGAAGCACCACTTGGGACCGTCAGATTAATTCGTCTGGGCCGAGCCAGCCGGGAAAAAACCCTCGCGCCGACGGACGCATTATTTTTTTTGAGGGAAAAAACCGGGTGTAAAACCCCAAGTGGCTAATCTGACAAGTACAAAAAGCAGGGAGGGAGGGTGGGTACCTCAAGACGACTGGCCAGTCGTGCTCATGCGCAGCGGTTTAGAGAACATGTGAAGATGTACGAGTAAAAAGAAATTGATCAGATGACTGCTCACTTGTGAGAAAAAAACACGAGAAAAAACCGCTGTGACGAGAAAATACTTCTCGCCTCTGTCGCTGCGCTCTGCCGTCGAGAAGATACCATTCTGCATAGGGAAGTAATGATCTCCGACATTTTGGCTGCTTTTCGGACGTTTCCCTTTTCGGATAGGTTTTCGGAAGAGCCTTCAAAAATCGGACACTGTCCGAAAAATCGGACGGTTTGGCAGCACTGCACATGGTACAGGCAGTGCCAGTAGATCTACAGCCTACAGGGCTTCACGAGTCAGTGAGTCCTTGTATGTACTATCAAGAGTACATAACCCCTATACTCTTGGTAGATCTACGTTTTGAGTACTATGTACGGGTCACGGTGTCCCCCGCCTTGTTACATGCTGTAAACAGTGTAAACTAACAACAGGTAGATCTACCACAACTTGGCACAAGGCACCAGGGCGTTCTTGACTCCTTTGTTACAACCAGGTCCAGGGAGTTGTAAAAATACCATTGCGCACCAGTCCAGAGAGTCGTGAAAATTATTAGCTTTCCCGACTTCCTGCCCTGTACTGTAGAGTGTTGTACTTGTAGTACTGGTCTGGTCACAAGTGAAGTGACACAACTACAGGACAAAATGCATGGCAGATTGCACATTGTGTCGAAAGTGCTCCCGACTACAACCCGCTTGGCAGAGTCCCAGACTGCCAGTCTTGGGACCATAATGAACCGTGTGGGCATGGGGTCTTGGTCTAACCTGGTTCGGACCCTCTGTTTTCCAGGGAGAGGGAAACATTTTATTTGTACTGGAGCTTTGGTAATGAGTTTGCTCACACACTGGAGCTCTGGAGCTTTGGTGTCTGTTGTTAGTATAACGCAACAAGTCTACAACTAAAATGATCAACGACTTGGAGGACACTAGACAGGATAGACGCCCGAAATCACTGTAGGTATGCACCATGTATGCCAGGCTGTGACTTCATCACTTCTGTCCAATGTCCACTCAGCCAACACTGGCAAACAGTCCCACAATGAAGATACATTGTATTTGCAGACAAGCAGACTTGAATACAGAGATCACCTAAATTGATCTCAAAACCTGTGCACTTGGCTGAAAACTATTTTAATTGTTATTAAAATTAAAATATAATTATACATACTTGGCTGACAGCCAAGATTGCTGTGGCTGTGGGCTAAAATTTAACAGAAGTTTCATATCAAAATATGATGTACTGCGTACAACACAGAGATCTAGCCAGCAAGTATCATCCTTCAATGGAAGTGCCAGATGCTCTTCGCATGCTTCTTGATGCATGGTATGGCAAGGAACACGAAGATGATCATCAGGCAGATGGCTGTTATCCCTCCGAGAATGGAAGCAGCCACAGTTGACGAGGGGAGCTTGGATTCGAGAAATTCTCTCCCCTGTGCAGTTTGGACATTAATTGGTCCTATTGCAAGAACAAGAGCAAACAGGATAATGCATCAGTCTATCTACTGCTACTGAGAGCCCTAACAGCCATTTTGACCTATATTTGCTCAAATGACAACTGTATCCCCAAAGTACTTGTACCCGCAATCACATCAATCATACAATGCATCCAAGAATGTGCAGGGAGCGACCACCAACAACACCTGCTCCATTACATATCTTCTGAAGCTTGAACACAACAAGATTGGAGCATTGGCCAGCGAATTTTGGCCAGTACATGAGAATCCCACAGTCCAAATGTGGCCTGGATGCACCATGCTGAATTAACGAGTCTCATTTCGAGGTCGAATATCGATGGCAAGAGGGTACTTCTGAAGTAGCACGGAGACTTCAAAGCAGCTTGCCCGAATCGGGTATACGATTCGTCTCGCTCGCTGTTTTAGTGAATTTTACGACCAGAAATTTGTCAAGGCTTCAGCGGATCAGCAACGGATTGTTGGAGGTGAAGTCTCTTCGCAAGAACACCCAGGGCCCCTGGAAGGAAGGGTACAGAAGACGGGATCTCCCAAGACGTTTGGAAACATTGCGAACAACCTTCTCTTCAATTGAAACTTCTGCAATGAATGTATGTGCACTGGTGCATCTTGGCTGGCATACTACGCACATCTGATGTCATCAGGCCCTCGGTTGGCAAATTTGAAGTCGTCTTCTCACAGAGACTCGTTCGCTTCTGGACATTCGTCGAGAGATCTTCTCTACCACCTACTTTTGTCTTGGCATCGAGAACTCTGTCTCAATAATGAGACTGGAGTGTTCCTTAAAACAGAGCTGCAGAGCATTGCTTGTTGCTAGGCGTGGGATAGAAAAAATGAAAATCACTACGGAGTGTCTTCCCGATGCTGGTAATGTGCAAGTGGAGTGGGCAGTCAGGAGTTCATTTCGGTGTGGTAGAGTCAGTACGTCCGCTGCTGAACTAGTCCACGAAATGCGACCACCATAGTGATGTACGCTCGCGGTCAAGATGTCTTACTGCTGCAGCACAGCTGTGTGTCATTCGTATGAGCCAATGACACAAAGATGCTTCACAGCTAGTGTCGATGTACACGTAGTCAGGTCTAGTGACATAAACACTTTGACTGACAACCTACATTCCAATGCCACAGTTCCGAGAACATACTACACAATTACCGGCCCAAGACTCGACACTGCGTGTTGCTGTATTAGATATCATTGACTAGGCAGTGGTAGACTAGTTCTCTGCCTGACCGACTACTACTACTAGTACATCCACGATCGAGAAGTCAACTACGCATTACGTTGTCACATGGCGAATGATAGTATGGGTATTGTCGCGTTTTTGTGGTTTGGAGATAAAAAATCCCTCCCCTGTAGCAGGATGGAAAGAGCGGTAGCCTGTGAGCATGGTGAGGAACCAAGGACTGGCAAGGAGCCATGCATCTGTCGTGCCCAACACTACCAGATCCAAGTGCAAAAATAATCTAACTAATATTAGCTATAAATTAACGCTATTTTCCAATTTTCTGGCAGTTCACGTCTCTGCCTGTTTGCAAGAAAGTTGAAATTCTCTCATATTTAGACTAAAAAACTGTGGCCAGTATGGCAATATTATTCGTTGTAAGTATGCTATTAGCCTGAATGAAGGTCTGCAGCTGCTGCGAGAACCAGCTTTCCTACAAACTCGCTTTGTTCAATTCCATTATACAGGTCATCATCGGGTTTTTCGCTATAGGATCCGTCCACCCGTGGATTCCTGGTGAAGTTTCGGGTGCGTTCTCGGATATTCTCGCGGCACTAGTATCTTCCTTGCCGTGTTCTGTTTAACGTGGCGCATTCAGAAAATGAAGACCAACTAGCGTTAACGTATTGTGTTTTTTGCTGTTGTGTTGTTGCCTGCAGTGAAAAGAAACGGAATTCCAATAGAGCCGGGAGAAATGATCACGGATGCAAAGGCGACGGATACCTTTACCTGTAGTGTTCCACCAGACTGCAACTCCACATGGAGCGTCATTTACCAAGTGCCATCCCGTGCCGAACGTAACATTGTCATGGAACAGACCAAAGTGGGAAACCAGACAGTGGAAGGACTACGGTTCTCCTCGTTCGTCCATGCAGGTATTTATATCTGTTGTGGAGGCGGCAACAGGACCATTTTGTTCGGAATTTACGACAGAGAATGTACCAGTGAGTACAGTACTAGCCCCGTTTAAAGCCCTCTCGTGAATAGTGCCCTGTCTCCGATAGCCAATAAAAAAATATAGCCCTCTCTTGAATAGTCCCCCACGTGGGCTCGTAGTCAAGCGCTTGTGCAAGTTTGGTGGTACATGTATTGTGCTAATGTTCTTGTCCATGTCACTGCACTGGTTAATTCAGGACAAAAAACTGCAATTCATGCAGTTTCTGTTGTGTCGTGATAGTTTAGAGTAAGCTTTAGATCCTGTTCTTCTTTGTTCTAATGCTAAATGACGTAATTATACCAAAAAGAGAAATAACTAGTACCGTCTCTCGAATAGTGGCGCGTCTGTGTGTGTGTGTGTGTGTGTGTGTGTGTGTGTGTGTGTGTGAGAGAGAGAGAGAGAGAGAGAGAGAGAGAGAGATAAAAGAAGAAGCTGTGTTGCAACTCCGAGTTTTCAGTAAAATGTTTATAGATTGAGAGAAAAATGTATCATCCTTAACTGCAAAAGCAATAGCAACCTGTGATCACAATAACCAGCGTCTGTCAGTGTGTACAACTGTACATACATGTACATTGTACATGTAGCCGCGGGTATATCGGCGGTATATTTATTGTGTATTAGTACTCCTCTGCTGCGCACTGGTGAGCTCAAAGGAGTGAAAAAGCTGTCCAGAGTCGTAAAAGCATTATCTGGTAACGGAAGTGTCCTTGCTACACTAGTACTGGTGCGTTTATGCTTCGTGTATTGCCATTGGTTCGGCTAGCTGTAGGAGCGCATGATGATGACGGGTGGAACAAGTACTATCGTCCACTTGTATACAGTATAGTCCAGTAGTACTACGGTGTATGTGTAGTACACATACTGTAATCCGATTCCCTGAGTGTAGTAGGTTTGCGGTCAAGATGTCATTCTTCTGCAGGACAGCTGATTGTCAGGCGCATAAGCCAATGACACAAAGACACTTCATAAGCTAGTGTTCATGTACATGTTCATAGTCATTGTACGGATTCAGTCACTTCTAGTGATAATACAAACGTTGAATGACAATCTACATTACAACGCAACAGTTCAAAGCACAGTCATACTACACGCCAAAGACTCCATACAGCGGATTACTGTATGTCATTGACTAAGCAGTGGTAGGCTAGTGGAAGCAGAGCTGTGGGCCCCGGGTCGGTTGGTTTTTTTTTGAGCTCTGATTTGCGCTCCGTTTTGAGTGAACAACTTGTCAGCGCCTTCTAGGTTCAGCCTGGTCCCATAGCTCAGTGGCTAGAGCATTGCTCATGACAAGCAAGGTCCCGGGTTCGAGTCCTGGTGGGTCTGGAGTTTTTTTCTCTCTTTTCAAGCAGTTCACTTCCCCGACTGATCCTTTGAATTTGAAATTCTCCCAACCTTTTCAAAATAAAGGCTTTATTACAACTTTTCTTTATCACAAATGCAAATTGATTTCATTAAAACCAGCCATAGGAGAGCCTTGCAAACCTTGCAAAAACTCCTACATACTCACGTCAAAATATCAAAATAATAATTGAACGGATAAGTTGATTGATGCACACAGCGCATCTGGACCAATCTAGAGTGCTGGCGGCGGCTACTTACTTTAGTACTACATGACCGTACATGTATGATGTAGCGATAGTAAAGTGATAAAATGTGCATGTACAATGTACGTATTGGAATGGACCAGGGAGTAGACTCATACCTGTACATGTATGGCGTTATGGGTGACTCGTAAAAAAACAAGACATTAAATTTTAATATTAGCGAGTTTAGCAACTCGTGAATGAGAACGAGTGAAAGCCGTTTCTCAGAGCTAGGTTTCCTCACCCTTATTTAGTAAGTCAGTTAAAAGTTTTTGCCTGGTGTTCGCGGTGACAGCATGGTCATCGATCATGTTCAAGCGCGTACATTCGTATCGTGGGCTCGAGCTCCCAGTACAAGACTAGGTCTGACTAGGAATACAGTCATAATTTAGTAGGGATGAGTGTAGATCTATTGTCTCTCATGCCATGGGAAATGAGCCTGATGACTGTGACGCGGACGTGAGAACCTTACCATGTTTACCGTACTCGCGCGATTAGACTTAGGGCGCGCTCGAATTGTCACTCTTACTTTTCGAGGAGTTTCGTTTTTCTGAAGAGGTGGCCTTATTGGAAAAACGAAACTCCTCGAAACTCCACAATCTCATCCGATGGGGGAGGTGGATTTTAGTTCCGAAGAGTTTGGAATAGCTACGTCACGTATTGCGTGGAGATGGTCGATCTGATCGGACGTCATCTTCGCCACGACAATTCCACTGAAAAACTCTAAAAATGATAGAAACCGTTCTAATGGGGCACTTCAACTAATCTCTTTAAAAAAATTGTTCGAGCAGTTGATGAAGACAATTCGAACGCCCGTCCCCTCAGAGCCCTCTCTTCCCTATCTCGACTAGAGGCTAGAGCCCCAGTCTCTAAGAGCCAGTGACAAAAATTAATAAAGCCCTCTCTTGAATAGTGCCTCTCTGGGGCTTGTAACCAAGCGCATGTGCAAGTTTGATGTTCTTTTGGAAATGTTCTTGTCCATGTCAATGAACTGGTGGTTTCAGGTTCAAAATCACAGTTCTTGTTGCCCTTTCTGGTGCGTCGTGATAGTTTACAGTAACCTTTAGGCACCGTTTTCAGTGCCTGAATTGTTTTATGCGGGATGACGTAAATGTACCGGCACAGAAAAATAGTGCCTTCTCTTCGACTCTTGTCTTGAATAGTGGCAGTGCCATATCTGTGATGCCTGATGATCGATGCTGAACTGGTGATGAGCATTGAAAAAATTGTGCCCCAGGGGCACTACATAAAATTTATATTAAAATTTATAATAATGGCACGAGTAGACTAGACTGCGCGGGCCGTACCTGTCTAACATGTTAATAAAATTATTAAAGGGGAAGTTAAGGCAAAAATTAAAATTTCACCAGCTGTAGTCTTCGGGGTGCTGAGTCGAATGGTCTTGGTCCGAGGAAGCTGAGACGCTTCCTTCCTACTTGAATCCCAATCGAACTCGCGCACTTCCACCGAAACTGGGTGACTGCGCCCTACTAGATGGGGATTTGTATGCAAAATGTCACTAAAAGCGCCATTGCGTTCTTATAAAAGCACGGATGACCGCGATTGGCCCATATGTTGTAGCCTTTTGGACGCTGAGTCGACTGGTTTTGGTCCGAAAAGGCTGCGATGCAGCGTTCCTCCTTTATTCCCAATCGAACATGGTTGAAGAAGCGGTCACGTGCTCCTGGGTGCCCAAATCACCTGGTCACCACGCCAGCAGGCGACAACTTTCACACCAAGGTTCAACTCGAGTTCAACTCGAGTGACAGGACTGCACCCAAAAAAGGTCAAACAGGCTAGCAAGTTGTACCCTGCAGGCACGGTGACCAGGTGACTGGCGTACGCAGCAGCACGTGACCACTTGTTCGACCATGTTCGATTGGGAATAAAGGAGGAACGCTGCTTCGCAGCCTTTTCGAACCAAAACCAGTCGACTCAGCGTCCAAAAGACTACAACATATGGGCCAATCGCGGTCATCCGTGCTTTTATAAGAACGCAATGGCGCTTTTAGTGACATTTTGCATACAAATCCCCATCTTGTAGGGCGCAGTCACCCAGTTTCGGTGGAAGTGTGCGAGTTCGATTGGGATTCAAGTAGGAAGGAAGCGTCTCAGCTTCCTCGGACCAAGACCATTCGACTCAGCACCCCGAAGACTACAACTGGTGAAATTTTAATTTTTGCCTTAATTTCACCTTTAAAGGGGAAGTTAAGGCAAAAATCAAAATTTCACCAGTTGTAGTCTTCGGGGTGCTGAGTCGAATGGTCTTGGTCCGAGAAAGCTGAGACGCTCCCTTCCTACTTGAATCCCAATCGAACTCGCGCACTTCCACCGAAACTGGGTGACTGCGCCCTACGAGATGGGGATTTGTATGCAAAATGTCACTAAAAGCGCCATTTCGTTCTTATAAAAGCACGGATGACCGCGATTGGCCCATATGTTGTAGTCTTTTGGACGCTGAGTCGACTGGTTTTGGTCCGAAAAGGTTGCGATGCAGCGTTCGCCCCTAATTCCCAATCGAACATGGTAGAACAAGCGGTCACGTGCTCCTGCGTACACCAGTCACCTGGTCACCGTGCCTGCAGGGTACAACTTACAGCCTGTTTTGACCTTTTTTGGGTGCAGTGCTGTCACTCGAGTTGAACCTTGGTGTGAAAGTTGTCGCCTGCTGGCGTGGTGACCAGGTGATTTGGGCACCCAGGAGCACGTGACCGCTTGTTCAACCATGTTCGATTGGGAATAAAGGAGGAACGCTGCATCGCAGCCTTTTCGGACCAAAACCAGTCGACTCAGCGTCCAAAAGACTACAACATATGGGCCAATCGCGGTCATCCGTGCTTCTATAAGAACGAAATGGCGCTTTTAGTGACATTTTGCATACAAATCCCCGTCTCGTAGGGCGCAGTCACCCAGTTTCGGTGGAAGTGCGCGAGTTCGATTGGGATTCAAGTAGGAAGGGAGCGTCTCAGCTTTCTCGGACCAAGACCATTCGACTCAGCACCCCGAAGACTACAACTGGTGAAATTTTGATTTTTGCCTTAACTTCCCCTTCAAGTTTTGATCATCATCAGACAGCAGCATTTTAAAAATTTTGATCATCATCAGACAGCAGCATTTGATCATCATCAGACACCAGCATTTGATCATCATCAGACAGCAGCATTTGATCATCGTCAGACAGCAGCATTTGATCATCGTCAGACAGCAGCATTTGATCATCGTCAGACAGCAGCATTTGATCATCGTCAGACAGCAGCATTTGATCAGCAGCAGACAGCAGCATTTGATCATCGTCAGACAGCAGCATTTGATCATCATCAGACAGCAGCATTTGATCATCGTCAGACAGCAGCATTTGATCATCGTCAGACAGCAGCATTTGATCATCGTCAGACAGCAGCATTTGATCATCGTCAGACAGCAGCATTTGATCAGCAGCAGACAGCAGCATTTGATCTTCATCAGACAGCAGCATTTGATCATCATCAGACAGCAGCATTTGATCAGCAGCAGACAGCAGCATTAATTTTCCTTACGTATGTCCGCCCCACAGCAGAATACGCCGCCCCAGTATGGGAGTCCTCCCTCTCTGCTGCACAGCGGCTCACCCTTGAACGGCTGCAAGCCAGAGTAGCTCGCACAGTCATGCGGCTTGAGAGATGCCCTTGCCCATCAGACGAGCCCAAGTCATCATTGTTTAAACAGCTGGGGTGGCCAAGTCTATCCTGGCGCAGGAAGATCGCCTGCCTTATGGAATTCTTCCATTTGGTCACCACCCAACCAGAACTTTTTGAAGCAGCGGGATACTGCCCCACGCGTAGTCGCCGCCGCCAACTCGCATTCACTCTGCCACGGGTTGGGAAACACGCCGGGAGGTCATTTCTCTTCCGCACCGCTACTGTCTGGAATGCCTTGCCCGCAGACCTGAGAGCCACAGCCTCGCAGTCCCTGTTTCACAGTCACATTTGCACGCACTTCTCTGACACCAAACACAATGCCACTCCTCACTGACATGCCTCTGTCCTCCTTCTTTGTGCGTTGCGCTTATTCTTATTAATTTTTGTGTTTCTGTTTCGGTACATTTCGTATTTCAAGGCATATCCCGAGGCTATAGGTATCATTGATTAAAGGACCATTCTGGAACATTCAGCATAATTGTATTTCTCTTGCTAGGCTCTTCATTACGAATTATTAGCCCTCCACTGTCTGCTATCTCAACCCTACAGTCTCCCATTATAATGGAACTCCCTTCGATTTAGACTACGTCTTTGGGAAATCCTCAAATATATAATAATAATAATAAAAAAATTTTGGTATTCACGAAACTTGAAGTAAGTAGTTACAGCTACACAGCCTTTCGCCTCCGTTGTACGTGTGTGTGATTGTGTATAAATGTATGCGACATTGTTTTACCTGTATTGCATTGCCATATTTTTCCGAGTACAAACTGCACTGGAGTATGGTGCAACCAGATGTTTTGTCACAAAGTACAGACATCTACCCTGTTTACTACCGTTAATATGACCATTGTTGTATGAGCCGCACCGACGTTTTGTGGGTGAATTACTGGTGTTTTTTTAAAGTGCGCCTTACACTCTGAAAAATACGGTACTTTGCACCCGTCGACATATCAAATCTTTTCCAAGTCCTCGTTAAGCTGACTTTTTGCCACCCCATTTCCTCGACCCACTGAAATGTTGGGCCTTCACCATCTCTGCCCCCTTTCTCAGTTCTCTCCGGTATACATGTACCTTGGTCCGCGCCAGCTTTCTCCCCATACCTCACACCAGATTTAGCGCTAAATTTGTTTATGCTTGTGGCCCTATGTGTTTATAAGCATACTGTTGGGTAGACCCGAGTATCAGTTGTCTGATGATTGCCTAGCGGCATGAAACTCAGAGTTACAACCAACCTGAACGTCCTCCGCTGAGTCTGCTATGTACATAATATGTATATAATTATTATGCGTAGTGAATGATACTCCTGGTTATGTTCCGTGATGAGTGTTCTAAACACGACAAAGAATGGCTCGGTTGTGTCATTCCTGTGTGAGAACTGTAGATACATGTAGACAGATAATTGTGTGTTACCCAAGTGTGTTTCCCAAGTATTGCCGCAGTCGCACCAACCTCTTCCTCACAATGTGGACAGAGAGATACTGTAAAGCCTGCCATCAGCGAACACCCCTTGGTGCAGCGGAAACGTTCCTGTTTAGGACAGGATTCCTCTCGATCCAGAGAGGCACGTTCATGCACACACTCATTAACTCACACTCATGCCTAGCCACGTGCACTTGCAATATCCACACCTATATCGCAGCACACATACATGCACACGGCATTGGATTTCACGTGGAGCATGGTAATTTCTGCAATTTGCTATGTGTGAGCTACACCCGAACGTTGCTGTCACTGACTGTCAGAGACGGTTCCCGCTGGCATCTGCGAATATCCCTGTGCCATCTATGTCTACTTTGTTGATTGTACTACCATGCCTCAGTCGTGATCTATCTGTATCTGCACTATCATTACTAGGAATCATTACTCCATTTAACAAGCGAATAGGAGGATCTGATTACCATCCGATGAGTGTATTTTAACATGAGTTAAGGAAGGGACATTTGGTCTCTGCTCTTGCTTTTCGGCCTAGTTGACTTGACACTTGACCAACTCACAGTACACAGTGTTTCAGGGAATTCACCCCTCATCAATTGTGCTTCGGACACAATATTCCCCAGCCTACTCAAGCTCAACTGACGAGGGGTGAATTCCCCGAAACATTGTGCATCGAGCAGGCAGTGGTGCTTTCTTGCAGGTTTGCCGAGTAGAATGTTCGATAGCATTCTCGTGTACTCTGGATGGCAGTCACGAGTCAGTCAAGTGTCAAGTCAACTCGGCGGAAAAGCGCGAGCTCCGGTGTGGGGAGCAAACACCTTTTCTTCTGTTCCTCTGGATGTTTCTGCTATTATTGCAGGGTCTGGGTGGCAGAAAGCTGTTTTGGCAGCAGCAATTGTAGGTGGCATCTTGCTGCTTGCATTAGCCCTGGTTGACATCCGCTACCGGTAAGGAATAAAAACCAGCATTACAACGTCAACCATAATTATCGAGAAAAAATGCATGATGACGGATTTTTTAATTCTTCCATGATTACGGACGCCCCTTTATTTACCATTTCCTTCACAATCCCTAAACAATGCAGGCAGGCATAGTGGGATGGTCTAAGACCATGATTGAGAAACAGAGGGTACCAGGTTCAAGTCGTGCTTGGAAGCGGAAGGATTTTTCCAGCGGTGCTATGTCCCCCAGTTACCGTATTACCCACAATATATGTATTGTAGTTTTATGTTTTCAAATGTGGCTAGCCCTGTACAGACTGTAGTACAGTAGAGTAGCGCGCTGAAGAACGTGGAGCCCAAGAACGTCCAGCCTGAAATTCTAAGAACGCCACAGCCTGAAGCTAAGAACGACGTGGTTGGTTTTCTGGCATCTTGTGGGATATATATATGATCCAGCAACAATTGTTTCTAACAACTTGCTATAAGAACGCAGCTAGATTGCTGAAAAATAAGAACGTCCCAGGCTTACCCTTTGGAAACAACGTTTTTGGGCGCGTGACTCTACTGTAGTATTGGGGGCTGTTCTTTTATTGTTTCTCGCAAGATTGATCGCTTGCCATGTGTGTCATACCACTCATAATAGATGATACTTTTTGACCGTAGATGCCTGTAATAACACTCCAGCTAGGGTATCAGCCGAGTCTCACGCAAACCGTGACATTTATTTATTAGGGTATCAAGCTGTGTAGAAAAGCACAAAGGTGATCAATGAGCAAGAAAAAACGAAATTAGATGGGTCCAGGTATGTGTACCCCGATAATGCCCATCACATCATTCTGCCATGTACTACTATTAGAGACGAGTCCTTTTTATTATTTCGATCCACGCTCAACCTTTATCTATCCACTACTGGAGACGTGTACATTTATTGGAGAAAATACAGTAATTGGCAACTCGTTGCCTGGCACGAGCCGGGGATGCATGGATGCAGTGAATTGGAATTTCATTCTTTGATCCCTTTGGCGTGTCTAACCTACTCGCCTTCCACCGCTTTAGGAGCTGCATCTGCGCCTTGGTCTTTGCGGGTAGTGGCTCCTACGGATGCGGAAAACTCCGCCTCCAGCTGGGGTCTCGCGCAAACCGAGATATTTTTCACAAACCCTTCTTATCGGCCTTGGTTGGATAGCACCCACTCTCTTCACATTGCCAGGCTGGTGTTCCCACTGCGCATTGAGGTGTCGCAATAATCAAATGAAAATTGCGGATAGGCCTGAAACGATCGCGAAAATTCACCTATCCTTCACTCTTTAGTGCAACAATCGATTACTTCGTTTATAATTGTCATCAAACAAGGGCAGATATGTGTGCAAATATTACTCCGTTTCCAAAGCTATAATTATCTTCTTTTCTGTTGCATTATTGAAAGGCTAACTCAGAAACATGGTCTGAAAACAAAAGCCTCACCGTTGGACACACACGCACACGTGCTCTAAATTATGCAGATGGATAGACAAAAAACGTCGTGTCAGGCTTTTGCGTACACGCGGTTATGTAACTGCATGAGCGAGTAGGAACATGCACTGGCGCTGACACTGTTGCAAGCCAATAAGCAGGTCTATTGTGAGCAGCCATGGCCAGCAATCGAGGACATCTGAGAGTTGTAATTTTTGTACTCCTCCGAGGTGTGATTTTTGGCGTGCTGGGCCAAGCACAAGGAAGCCATCTGCAAAAAAACTGCAGAAAATGGTTGTTGTTTGATCCTTTGGTGTAATCTTTGTTTCTAGTCGAAGCTAGTTGCTGTTTGGAGCAGAAGCGCCTAAATTGACTATTTTCTGCATGTACTCATACATGTACTCATGTACTCAGTCATGCAGTCTCACTCGTATTTTAGCTCTTTTTCTGGAATGGATGCTGCTCTGCGCCCCTTGGTGAACATTTCCTGCGCTCGTGGAGCAGCTGAAAAGGACCACTGGTATGTCTGGTTCCTGGTTTGAAAGTGGAGAGTCGACTTTTGTGCCTTGAAAAAGGAGTAGAGAGCGATAAGGGGCCGTCCGAAATTATCGAACGTTTTTCACGAAACGAATTATTTTAGTTTAGACCCAACCCCTCCCTCCCTCCCCCTCAGAACGTAAAAAAAGTTTGACATATGCATGCATAATACAACAAAGGTTGCAAGTGTGTAACTGCTCCTATGGGCATGCACATGTATCAATGTTTTCTGGAACGAAATTGGTTAACCCCCTCCCACCCCATAACGAAATTATTTCGTTTTGTGAAAAAAGTTCGATATTTATGGACGACCCCTAAAGGTACGTCTGTGGCTTATTTTTGAGTGCTCCTCGTACATTTTTGATCATGATAGAAATTCTCAGACCAAAGTCAGACCAAAGTCAGCGCGATGATGGCCGTAGAGTTTTCTTGTGGATTTTTTAGTTGTTTCATCTCGTATCTATGTCAGTATCGTGATGGTGAAGTGGAGAGGGTGATTTTCTTCCTCTAGGCTTCGTTCGGCCGACTTTGCTTCGTCCTCGTTGAAAAGTGATCCTGAAAAAAAGGTCGATTCGCAAAATTATGTTGATTTTCAATGTACGTGATGACATGCGATTGCTGGCTATGAACAAACCTATGATTAGTCGCACCTGTTCTGCTGTGCGCATCACATTATGTAGTTTCTTACACACCTTCCCAATATACTCTTAGCTACTCTGCAGACCCTTTAAACTTAGGAAGGTGTTTACCCTCATCAGCATCCACTACGTAGTCCGATGATTGCGCGTATTGCCATGAAGACTCAGAGTTACGAAATAGAAAAGAAACGTTTCCCGCCATTGTGATCTTGTTAGAAATTCGTATGTACATTATCGCGTTACCATTATACTGTATCCTATGATCTATCTGTACCGTAGGAACACATTGAGTGGCCTGAAGGCAGCGACGCAGCAGCAGCCGCAGCAGCAATACCAATACCAGCAACCACGACCACAGCATCAGCATCAGGCGTAAGACGAGCATTACCAGGAACCACGGCCGCAGCAGCAGCAGCAGCAGCAACACCAGCAGCAGTAAAAATAGCTTTTTTTTACTCTGCCAAATTTCTAGCTCCATTCACCCATGCATATTTTCTCCACAGGGCACACTGGATTGAATTTTCTTGTAGTTTGCCCACATGCGTAGTCGATCGTATTGACAAGGGATTTGCACAATATGCATTACAAAATGATTTGTGCGGAACATTCAAGATGTGGTGGTGGTGGTGTGTGTGTGTGTGTGTGGGGGGGGGGGGGGGGGTATTATTTCCAGATAGCTCTCCTGCACTTCACGTAAGTTCATCTTTCCGCTTTCTTATCCGTTTTTTTATATTGTCGACATGGCTGGCAATCGCTCACATTACTTCTTTAAAAGGTAATTCATAATCCCAATATTGGTATCGTCTCGTTGTTATTCCAGCTAGCCATGGTTGGCTACCACCTGGCTTGTCATAGTTGTTGGTATTCTCACATGAGTGAGGAGATTCATGAAAAGAAAAGATACCGGTACTCAATGTGCAGACGGAACTGTTCCGTACTTTGTGGACTCATCAACGCAGCACAGAGAAGATCAAGCCAACCTGATAGCAGTCAAAAAGAAATTTTCCAAAATTTTCCAAACATAGTTACCAACTACAGAACAGGCCAACCTGTTGTTGTGCAAGCTATTACGCATTGTAGTGTCAGGACATACTGAAGTAGGCAATTGTTACTCACCAGAGAAGAGGAGCAGACCACAGTTTATTATACACTTGAAGGAACACCGGCCCACTAGATCTAACTGTTATCTTGTCCATCAAAATATCACATGTTCTTGGAACGCTTTTTCAGCCATGGAATCACAAGAAACACGATGATGAACACGATGATGATCACGAGAAAGATGGCTGAAGATCCGCCAAGAATGGAAGCAACTCCAACCAGGGAGGATGGCTTGGCTTCATAATATCCTTGTTTCTCAGCATGTTGCTCAGTCAATGGTTGTCCTGATGGAAGCACAAGAACGCATAGAACAAATGACCGCACCTCTCATTGTAATTGATCATAGTACATAGGGCGATCTCAAACGGTTATATCGGGAACAAGTTACAAAAATATCGCGTTTCCTGCATTCATGTGGATTAGTATCAAAAAGTATTCTTTCTAGACCAAAGAGTGGTATATTTGATAACATTTAATAACGATAGAAATTTTTACGATACTTCTCCAGACGTTTCGTTGTTCTGAACAACATCGTCAGTGGATAAAGAAAGATCTTTATCCACTGACGATGTTGTTCAGAACAACGAAACGTCTGGAGAAGTATCGTAAAAATTTCTATCGTTATTAAATGTTATCAAATATACCACTCTTTGGTCTAGAAAGAATACTTTTTGATATTACAATGAGAGTGAATAATCAACGGCTTGTCCACCAACTCTTTGACATGTGGATTAGGTCAGATCTTTTCAGTTTGTTCTCTGGAAAGTACGGGAACTGAATGGAGGAAAATAAGCTGCACTTTAAACACAAGTATTTCACTCAAAAACCAAGCATGAGCATCACAGTTTCTGGGACTAGCGGTGCGTGGAGACGGCAACGGGTACGAGCCGTGCACGTGTATAGCCATGAACGAGCAACACAGAGGGATAGTACATAACGATGCAGTCATGTAAGGTATGCAAGGAACTTCAGAGGAAGCCTGCCATCTACACTTTTCCAAAAACAGAATATTTACTTGGGTGACTGGCTGCACAGAACTTGTGACCCAGATTACAGCAGCCCCTCCCCCCCCCCCCCCCCCGCCCCCGCCCCCCAGCCCCCCCCCCCGCCATAAACGTTGTGTGTCCAATACTTCAAAGCACTATCATTACGTGTCCAGTAGAATCTCATTTTGAAAGTGGATCAAATTATAAAAGGGCCTGTCAGGATGAGTAGTACAAGCCAAAATGATGCTATGGGTGGTGCACACTGCTTGATTTGGTATTCACAACGTGTGCAAATGGTCCATTTTTACCGCAAAGCACAGTGCATGGCACTTCTACAGAAATCCTACAAACACAAAGCTCACATAATTATTTACCTGAGCATGCTAAAATCTCGTCACTCCACGTTCCATTCTCTTGGCATGTGACAATTTGATGCTGTTGTGATAGATTTCCTGATATATAAAATCCCTCCTTGCATGTCAAGTTGACAGTTTCCCCAGCAGAGACGTTTTTGCTCAACTTAAAGATGGTTTCCGGATTGAAAGAACTTGCAAGAAATGCAATCCAATAATAATCAGTTGGAGCAGTGCAGTAGACTTTAGTTTGAGATGGCTGGCTGGAGGATGGATTCTTCTCTACGTAATCTATAGCATGGTCTGGGGTGCTAACACGTGTAGTGACACCAGGTCCAGGACCAGCAGAGTTGACAGCAAACACTGTAATCAGAACATCACTGTTGTTCAGTAGTCCAGTGATGTTGTATTGTAACATTGCTGTACTGATATTGACCTTGACTCTCTGAAGAGATGACTGAGAATTCACCATACTATACTCCAGTGTATAGTACAGGATATTGCCTGGGCAAAAGAGAGAAAACAAAACAATGGTAAGCACATTAAAATTCCAGTCGGAAACAAGATACAAACACCGGTAGAAACAAATCTACAGCCAGTGGACACCGAGTCGTTTTGACAGAAGCCTTCATCTCCAGAACTCATCAGTGGTATGTTATTATTTTCTCGGATTCCGGTTTTCCACTCCATATATTTATTTAAGCGCAGTTGAGCTCCTTGAGGCTTATGATCTCATTTTCTTATGTTCGTTTTTAGCGCTCGACTGGCTATTATTTTCCTTCTTTTATTTCGCGCTACATATTCTTAGTTTGTTGAGTACACGTTGTGTCTTCAGGTATTCTCGATTTCAATAAAAATTGTAAGTACTGTACTCTAAAAATAGAAAAATAAAAAATCAGTGGCAGCTTCTGTTTGAGGAAAAGGGAGAATGAGAATGAGTAAAGTAGACGATGTTGCTATAAAAGATATAGTTACTACAGGAGCCAAAGCAGCAGCAAGGCAGGAGTCGGCGAAATGGTTCGAAGGACAGCACAAAACCATGCGTAACCAAACATCACGCAGAGGAGCGATGGGTGAATTGAGCAAATACGAGACAGTGCTATGTTCTGCTTATGCCTGCAGAGGTTAAGCTGCTGGGTATGCATACAAGGATTCTCATACTTTCAAATGACGCTCAGAACAACAAGGTGACAATACAGCAAAACAAGCATCAGAATAGCTTTTCGCAACTGTCGCGAGTCCCTTGTCGTGTCTCAAAAAGTGGTACTGTGTGTGTGTGTGTGTGTGTGTGTGTGTGTGTGTACATGTACGTGTGTGTGTGTGTGTGTGTGTGTGTGTGTGTGTGTGTGTGTGTGTGTGTGTGTGGTTGCAAAACGGAGGAGCACCAGCAATTTCAACAACTAAAACACGGACTGTCTTCAGCACCGATAGAGTGGTCATCCCCATTACTAGGGGTCTCGTAGTCATCAGTTATTGATGCATCGATGGGACCTCTATTTACATAGAATGTACGTGAACATGATTTAACGTAAACATAAGATAGGATACGTACCATGAGATGTGTCGGGAGCTTCCCATTTTGTCTTCACTGCAGAGCTGGATATCACCATGGCAACCACACGATTTACAGGACCTGATGCTGTGTACAATAAAAGAAACAATGGAACAAATGTGTTGAACTGGAGGGCAAATAGTAACATGTTGCATATTAACAGAGCAAGATAAAATACAAACATTCTAGTCTGTGTTGTTGATATGCTATGCACAATATGAGGATGGCTACACTGTATTGTATTGTATTGTATTGATCTATTTGAATTCGGTATCTCAACAGTACAATGTACAACTTGGGAAGATCCGAATGACATAGATATGTTGAATACGAGAAAGGACGACTGACGACACATTGTCCAGACATTACAACGGGAACATGGAGCGCGAGTCGTGGCCTGTCCGCTGCCGCTGCCGGCACACCTGTAACCACGCCACACAGCCACAAACGTTCTTCTGCCGAGCGGTCACCTGATTCGCTGTCGCACGATGCGAAGCGTTCTGCCCAGCCTGGTGCGCAGCCACCCCGGCAGGATAACCAATCCTCACAATGATGGCTCCAACACGTGCACGGCAACCACCTAGAATGCTCCGCCTCATGCTGACAAATGCTTTCGGTATCTTGTCAAAACTTGGGGAGTTCCAAGCTTCTCTCAATGCCCACCACCCCGACATTGTCATCGTCACGGAGACAAAAGTCACGGAGGACAAGGCCACGCCTGCTGACCTCACATTCCCTGGATACTTCCCACCAGTTCGAAGGGACCGTACGGCCCAGGGGGGCGGTGTTGCTATCTGGATTCGGGCCGACCTGGCTTTCACAGAACTAGAATGTATTGATACTGGTGGAAATGAAATCCTGTGGGTTCGCCTCAAGACAGCAGCTGGCCCATCCATTGGAGTATGTGCTGTGTATCGCTCAGGTTCATCCGCTGATGGGGACATCTCTGCCCTAAACAGCATCAGCTCTGGCATAGATGATGCTAGGCAATGCTGCCAGAATATCATCGTTGCAGGTGACCTAAATGTTCACAACCGGGAATGGCTAGGCAGCAGTAGAACTTCCCCTGCTGGTGAAGCTGCTGAAGATCT